CCGGGGAAAAGCCTTGTAGCAGATCAAATGGAGATTTCCCGCTTCATGGTAAATGATCGAGGATCGTTATTAAAATATTTTTCATTTGGTTGTAAGTGTTTTCAGATTTACTCTTTTCACCTACTTGGTCTCGGACAAAAGTACAATGTCCAACCTGCGGCGATATATAAAATTAAGAAGCGACGGCATTCTGTTATTATTGCCGTTGATGTTAATAATACATACCTTAAGGCCGGTTTCAACCAAAGATTGACCTTCTGCTCCAGGAGGTCGACCTATGAGGCTATGCTCGTTATTACCTCAATTCCTTGGCCTGCACCTGGTCCTCTCTGCGCACTCGGGGACATCTGGAATTCGTTTCTAGTCTCTCCTGGGGACCTTGGTGTTCCTCTGAGCTTCTTTGCTCGGGCTCCCTGGCCTCTCGCGCCTGTCTTCTTCTGTCTCACACATTCGTGCTGGGGGGCGGGGCTGGGGCATAAGCCTATCTATCTGGTCGTTTTCTTTTATTTTTACTGATATAGCTTATGCACGAACTGTAGTTTGTCGGATGGGCTTCACCACAGTTCGCGCATTTCAACGGTTCTTGATTAGGTAGCTAGCAGTCAGCCGTGGGTTGGCCTCCTGCACATTTTAAGCACTTAAAATCTCTGTTACAATTGCTGGTGGCATGACTCCACAGCTGACAGTGCTTGCACTGAGTGACTGCCCGATTGTTCCTCCTCAGCCCCCAAGTGATTCTGACAGACAATAATGTCTTTACTTCATCACTCAGCAGTCGGAGAGTAACAACCGGGTCTACTACGACGAGAGGACTAAACCGCGTGTTGAGCCTGTAGACCTCCTTGACCATGATGTTTTAGTCTTCTTTCATTTATTGCATGATCTCCGAGGGCTCAGGCTCAAAGTCCAAGCCCCTCAGCAAGAATGCGTGGGTTTTTCCCTTCTTGAGGGAATAGGAGTAGCAGGATACTTCGACCTCCTTCAGTTTCTTCCTCACGTTTTCGAAGTCCTCCACTGTTACCGTACTTGAAGAAGAAGGGTTTCGTAGTGAGGGACTTGATTAGAGGCATAATCTCCCTTCTATCCTTCAGGACTCCATCGAACACTATTGGTGGTGATTTCTCTCCTTTTTTGGTTGCTTTGAGTTGTTCCTTGGTTGTTATGTGCTTGGGTTGCATTGGTCTTTCTGGTGTCTTTGTGTAGGAGTTTTTACTCTTACTGTTAATGGGTTCTTCATCAGTAGACTGATCTGATGGAAGAGGTATATCTTGGGGCAGTAGCTGGTTTGTGGTTTCTCCTCAGTATTGCGCAGAACCTCGAATCTGTTGTTGGTGGATGTTGCAGTGTTGGGGCGTTTTTGAAACGCCTTTGTCCACTTTGTGGTTTTCTTCTTTCTGGGTCTTATGTAACCGTCTGTTTCGAGGTTTTTGATTTTCTTGCTGCGCGTGTTGCCTGCTGGTGCGCTATGAGGGTCTCGAGGTCTTTTTTCTTGCCTCCTTGGTGGGGGAGGGTGTGAGGTGTCTATCTTTTCCGGTGTGGTTTTGGCTACCCGGTTCAAAAAATTTTCTTCTGTCGCCTGCAGTCTACTGGCTACTCGTTGTTCATGAGTGTCATGGTTATCTATTTGATAGTTCCTGTATCTTTCTGGTAATGCTGGTATCTCGTCTGGCTCCCTAAACTCGTATCCAGATGCAAAGTTTAAAGGGCCTTTACTGGTATTTGGCTTTTCTATGTATCCTCTGGATGGCTTAATATTGTCTATTTTTTCTGTGTAATGCTTTCCAGCGACCAATGTATTTGGTTTGTATTTGTTCATTCGCCGATGCAATTTCCCTTTCGGTTTCTGAGCAGGTTGATGAAGGGGTGAAGGGTCGGCTGGGGTGACCTTTATGGCCTTTGCCACTGCCCTCAACCTCGCCGTTCTTTTCTCCTGCTCTAGCTCCTCCGCAGTTGATTGCTTCGGCGATGTGCTTACCCGTGTGGTTGAGGAAAGAGAGATGGCATCCCAGTCATCATTGCATTTGTCCTTATCTATATCGATAAAAGCGTTTTCTATTTCATCTTTGTTGGTGTTGTGACTTTGCATGATTTCTATTATTCTTATTGCTCTTTCCTAGAGTGACTCTCTGGGGTGGGTGTGATGCGCCAATTCCCAGAGGTTGCTAGGGCAGTCCTCGGGTTTGACCTCCATGCTCATGAGTTTGTTTATCTGCTGCACTATGTTCCTGATTTCCGGGTTCGGCTTTCTTCTTCTGGAGTATCTTGGGGCTCTGCCGGAGGCAAAGTCCCTCCAGGAGTCGAAGTCGTCGACTCTGATCTCCATTTGTTCATAGAACAGCAGAAAAGCACGCCTCTCTCGGCATGATGTTTGTCCCAGCATGATGGGTGGGGGTCTCTCCCTCTGTCGGACCTACTCCATCCAGCCCTTCCTCTGGGAGAGATTCCCCACCCTGCTGGGTTTCGTTTTTAGTATTAAAATTAGGTTGAAAATCATGGTTGAAATAATTAGTTATTTTTGAGGGGGGTTTTTATGTTTTTCACTTAAATTACTATTAATGAATTAGAACGAACACTGGTTGAAATTATTATTAAAATTATTATTAAAATCTACAAATTGAAATACACTAAGATTACTTGACTAGCTTAATTTTCACTATCAAGCAGGTACGCTACTCCACTGGCTATTATGCTTCTTACGTACTTATGTTCAGTTCATAGAGGAAGAGTAATCCTCATGGAAAATGAAATTATATATCAGTCTAATAATAATTTCAGAAACTTATTTATTTTTATGGAACCACTGAATGCTGGGCCGTATTCACTACTCCGAATAGACATTTCATTCAAGTGGGCATATTCCGCAGTTCCTCTGCCAATAAGATAGGTACACTCGTCTTCAGCGAACATGTCCCGGTTGGACGGTATGAGCGCTCTTATTGCAGCGGTGATCAAGGGAGCTGACACCGTCCATGTGCGACATGATCTCTGAAGACGAGTGTACCTACCGCTCCAAAACTATTGCTGCCTTCAAATTTGTTTTTTCTTTATATCACAAGAAATTAGGAAGGAATATGATAAACTCACTATTCGAATGTAAAGAATTAATCGATTGACAAATGGTATATATCGTGGTATATTTCGATTCGACCAACGGAAATTCAATTGAATCTTCACGTCCAGTGAATGTCCCTGAATGGATGTCCATTCAGTGTCCATGTCCATATGGACCAAGCATGGACATCATATGGATATCCTGTGTTTACTGAGTTATTACCAATCAATCAGACCAAATCATCTAGTAGAATTTGGTTTCTAGCTATTCCGATATGGCTGACAAGAATAACGCAACCGCAACATTGAATTACTGTAAGGTAGGTACTTGGTAAACATTTAACAATCTGAACAATACCATAATTATATCACCTTTTTTCATCTCTTAGGGCACATATAGTCGAAACACAGAATAAAACAACCATTTCGAACGCCAAGTATCTCAAGAGCCAAGACGTTGAGGACTCATGTTCACAGCGTGTCTCACATTGAACGCCCCCCCTCCTTTATATCTCAGGTAGTAGTCGATCGTGCGATTCGTACCAAATTTTGACCGTTATGAATAACCAAAGATGAGAAAATATTTCATGGAATAATATTAGGTATTTTTTGCAGAAGAAATATCTTCATATTTTCCCCCGCGCTTTCGAACTCCCATATGCATAAAATCACCTCATACCGGATTAGCAGGAATGGCTTCATTTTCTTAATTTTCTGCCTCGCAAAACTAGTGAATTCAGATAAACTGCGAATTTGGAACGTTCGATAGCTGGATGGATTATGATTAAAAAACATACCGGTTTAGTAAATACTTATTTACGTTGGTAAAAATGCTGTTTTCTTCAAACCCTCCATAGAAATCGTATGGAAATTTATAAATGGAGGTTTGAAACCATGAAGAACAATATTATAGGGTCAGTTTTTCCGTAAAAATGCCTTATATGATTTCATGAAAAAATAATCCTATTCATTTATCAATGAAAAACTGATCATATTGATGATTATTCATACTGGTCCAAATTTGGTTACAATAGCACGACTATTAGTTGAGTTATCGAGGCCGTTTGAAGCGAGACACGTTGTATATGCACTTTTTTTTAAATCACCGAGATTCACTTTCAAAAGTATCTGATAAGCAACCTGTATAATCAGGCATCAGGTGGGCTACTATATTATTCATTTAAAAGGTTGATTACTGATTCCATTATTCAATCTCACTCACTTCAGCTTTTGAACTGCCTTCTATTTAAGGCAATATATTAGCAATATTCTTTTTACCTTGTAAAAACTTCACAAACGATACCTTGTTACATTCTCACTACTGAGATCAATTGAGTTAGAAGGAGGTGAGTCGGATCTGAGTTGTCGATTGAATAAAAAGAACACTTTTTATCTGTCAGGAAGGGCAAGGGAAGAAAACATAACCCAACATAATTCAACAAAAATGTAAAATGGCTGAGGAAATTAATGAGGAGCATAGAAATATCATTGTAGTGAGTATTCAAAGGATTTAACCTGTGGACTGAAAGCAAGTCAATATAAAAATATAACCTCACAATTTTCAACACAGAACCACAGAATTACTAGAATCAATCCAATCTCACCTTTTTCTCACTACAACACCAGATGAATAGCATGCTCAATTAGGGTGAGGGGGAAGAAATAGTCTCAATAAATTCTTAAGACAACTCACATCAGACTAAGATAAATGAAACATGTAATACAACTGAGCTATTGAGCTGCACTGAGAATCTTGGTTAATCTCAGTCAAATTTGGTGAAGAGAAAATTACTATCAGTAAAGTAGCTGAATCAATCAGTACCTACGTCTTCATAACTCAAATTGCTGAGAATAAGCAAACTATTTTTTCACTCAGACCATTATGGAAAGTCTCACGTCATAATTTATCTTCGAGTATAATATACTACAAACAACAATCACACTAGCCACATTCTATAACTCATTTAATGTTTTCAGAATAGGTTTATTTATAATCATATAACAATTCAAACATAATCATATAACAATGTAAACAATACCATAATTATATCACCTATTACTTCAATAAATCACTCAACGGGTCTTCTGAGGTTTCTAAATTGTCCAACTTCTTGGTGATGATTGTTTTTTTAATTTTGTTTTCAAGAGGTGGATCTAAAACAACATTCAAAGTATAAAATACTTACTTTAAGCGTTTGCTGAATAAAACTAGTATCATACTAAGTTTTGCGCACAAGATTTGAATGGGGTCAATCATGTAGTAGTAGTAGTAGGGAATTCATAATAAGATCGAACACTCCCAATGATCTACTATTTTTGAATCTGGCAATGAATATCACAATCTAATTTCTTTCGGATTTATTTATTGTGCTGCTAATTTCTCGATTAACGCAATTTGCGAATTTAGTTCGGAACATAATGAATCAAGGTACGACTTCTAGAAACAAAAAAAACAAATAGATCTCAAAGATTAAATCTCGTTGGATCCAGGTTAATTATTGCTCTAGCCCCTAACAATTGCTCGAGAGTTGAAAATCTTTATATTCGCTTTTGGGGATCATGAATAACGGGTATATGAGTTTGCGACGTTTCCTAGGTTGTGCTTCAGATCTGAGAAACCAAATACTGCGAAATGCTCGCGGTTTTTCAGCTTTTCACCTTATTGAGCATTTTTTCCAAAATTGTTGAGAAGATTTTAAAAAAACGCATTGTAGATTTCATAAATAGAAAATATAGCTTTGACATAAATCAATTTGGTTTTCAAGAAAATAGTGGCACACAAGCGGCAATATTACAAGTAATACAAGCAATACAAAAAGGACTTGATACCGGAAATTATGTGATAGCAATTTTTGTTGATCTCAAGAAAGCTTTCGATACAGTAGACCACATAACACTTTTGGAAAATTTAGAATCAATGGGACTCAGAGGCATGATAAGGAACCTTTTAGATTCGTATCTTCAAAATAGGACAATCAGTACCAAATCTACCAACTCAGAGTCTCATAGACTACCGATGACTAAAGGTGTCCCTCAAGGATCTGTTTTAGGACCAATTTTATATTTATTATATATTCAAAATATCACGAAAATTGATACAGAATGTAATTACACTATTTATGCAGACGATACGGTACTTTTATATGAAAATAAAAATCCTATCATTTTAGAAAATATAATAAACAGAGACTTGATGAAATTTGAAAATTGGCTGCATTCAAACCTCTTATCAATAAATACTGATAAAACTGAATATATGATTTTTCAACAAAAAAATAAACAAAATATAAATTTAAATCTCAGAATCAAAAATGAATCTTTGAAACAAACTAATGAGAAAAAGTATCTTGGGATTTGGTTTGATGATAAATTGAAGTGGGACAAACATATAAATGTTTTGAAGAAAAAAATATCTCCTATTATTGGAGCCCTGAGAAGATGTCCCAAGCTGAATAAAAAAGTTGCAAATATAATTCTATATTCTCATATACTCAGTCGTATTAACTATTTGATAAATGTTTGGGGATACTGTTCAAAAAACAATTTTAATAAAATATCTGCATTATATAAAAAGACATTGAAAGTACTGTATCGTTTACCATATGATACACCAACAAATCAATTATATAAAATAACTGAATCATTCTCATTAGAAGAAATGTTCAAAATCGAAAGACTGAAAATTACATACAATATCATAAATAAAAGATTGAAATCTAATTTTATTTTAACACGAAACAATGAAATTCATAATTATCAAACTAGACAACATGGTTTATTTCATCTTGATATCGCTAATACTTCTATAGGCCAAAAAAGATTCACCCACGCTGCTCTCTTGGAATATAACAAATTACCAGATTATAAAAAATTGCAGAAATACAATAAAATTCGAATACCATCTTAAAAAATTTATCATTTCTGAACGAAATAGATGACTTACTTTTGATTCATATTTAAATTGATTTTTGCTCAGCAATATGAAATGATTTGTCAAAATTTAATAATTAATGTTTTCAAATATTTTATTATTCATCAGTTTATTATAATTGTATAGTTTTAGGTATTATTGTTAACTATACTTCCTTATACCAGAACTTGATTCTGACTGGAAGTAACATTTTCAATAAATAAATAAATAAATGAAAATAAATAACTAGAAAATTACCATTGAATTCCGCGCCGAATGGCGTTCAGAACATACAAATCGGTTCAGCCGTTCAGCCGCTATCGACCGTCAGATAGACAATCTTTACCAACTTAGCTAAAAAGTTTACAACGCTCAACTTCTAACGCATGTAGAACAAAAACGACTGCTTGAATTACAAAATGTCAAGGGGCCGAAGTTGTACGGAATTAAATTCTAAATCATATGCTCCTTGAAATTTAGAATTTGCTTGCTCCAGACCTGAGATATGAATTTTAAACCAAAATAGGTTGTGCGCCAAATTACCGCTAAAGCAGCCCAATGCAGGAAACTTCGTTTGAACTCAAAACTATTCACTTCCTTGCATTTTTCGATTAAATATAATCAACTCAGTTTCAACTCGAAATCCTTTCGTCAAGATCTGATTACGAAGGTAACTATAGAACCCGATCAATCATTGATCAGGTACCAGACGATCACAGAACAACAGTACAGGGGAGAGAAAATGAGAAAAATAGTTGTTCGTTTATTCTCCGGTAGACAAAAGAATCTAGTTTTGTATCATTACATTATGAGGAAAAACAGTACTACAATCCATATCACATCTTGCGTCTTGCGATGCACTCCCTTCGGACTGGAGTTCAGAGGACTCGACGGTGATTTCATGCTGTTTCCCCACAGAATTGACACGTGCGTGCCCCTTGCACAAATAGCTAAGCACTTGAACCCGACTTTTCTACAGGAGCATCCATCCTCGCACCCTTTTTGCAGACGCAGGAAATGGAATTTAGCAATTCCTCGGGTGCTGGAGGCTGAATAGTTTGGATGGGTATAAAACCATCTGGGGCGGATTTACATCCCCATTCATCTGCATTGACCTGTCGGTTCCTCCACATCTGCACCTGCAAGAACGCCCTGAAAGAACGTTGGCGAGCAGCCAGTTCACTTGAGTGTTACGATGCCAGGTTGACAGAGTTTTTTGAGAGCTCTTTGGATGAGTTGGAATCTCAGTTGGTTGAGAGATTGTCCTCTACTGCCTGAGTAAACTGCTGCAATGAACTTCCCTCTAGCCTCAGCAACCTGGTCAGGAAGGCAGCATGATCGATAAAAATCGAGACAACATTCAGAAGGTCAGGATTTCTGGATAAGGTGTTGATACATTACACTTCGCCTTGTCGGGAAAATGAAGAGGTTGTGTCACAGCCGCCTAAGGCATGTAGAAACAAGATAAGTCGTTTTGCATCTTCGGATAGCTTGCTGTTTTAAGGACTGTAGGTCACAGTTTGCTGATTGCCCTTCCCAGGTTTCATTATAAATATGATGTCAATTAACTGTGATTGATCTTCGCTGTTAAGTAATATTTGGACAGTCAGCAAAACAATTAAATCTGTATCCTTCCTTTCCCTCCATGCCTCGATATTTCCACTGCAGTAGCCACATTCATGGTATATGCAACCTCTGACTTGTATGCGTGCACCTACGAGATTTTCAATGAGTATCGTAATTAGGAGTTTCTTGTTGTTTTCGTTAGCAAGGAATCGTTCATGCGGCATTGTTGCTGTCATCGATTCATCAAACATCACTGAAGCAAATGACATGGTTTGAGCTCTAAAGGCTCTTTCAGCTGACTTGGTACTTCCTTCGAAAGACTCAGGGTACCCATCAAACACGATGAAAAAGTGAAAATAAAGTGAAAAGTTTCGAGTTCATACGAAGTTTCCTGCGTTAGGGTGCCTTAGCGGATATATGGCGCAGACCTTTCTGGTTTAAATACATATCTCAGCACTAGAGTGAGCAAATTCCAAATTTCAATATGCATCCCATTCGAAATTGTATTCCCTATAATTTCGGTCTTTTGAAATTTTTTTATCGGAGCAGTCATTTTCCACCTACAGGTATTAGAAGTTGAGGCTTGTCAACTTGTTAGCGAAGGTGGTGAAAATGGTCTATTTTTAACGGAAGATTGCAGCTGAACGGCTAAACTGATTTCGATGTTTTCAATAACAATCGACGGGCAATTTGATGTTCTTGGAAAATATATAGATTAGCATTTTTTGTAGGATGCGCACTTTCCGCACAATCTAGAAATACCTGATATTCAGTACCCCCAAGAGGAATCAAAACGATTTCCAGCTCTCGAGCCTTTTTTTGGGGTTAGAGCTCTTTTTGTACTAACTATGCTGGGCTGTATGTCCACTTTGCAGGTTTTTTCAAGTTCGAACTCTCCTTACTACCGTGTAGGTACCTATTGATGAATAGATGAATACTTGCAAATATCGACTACCTACCCTTCATCTCTGTTGAAGTCATTGACCGGATATTAAAAAGTCGTCACTCACCCGTTTTATTTGTATTGTCTCTTTTACGAACACTTTTGAATAGATCATCATCACTGGAAGAATCTTCAAATAAAGATTTCTTTGGAGCATTCATTACGGGATTGGAGTTTTTCTGGTTCCTTCCAGACTTCTTGGAAGTGAATAAATCATCGTCAGATTCGCTTTCAGATCCGAACAATTTCTTTGAATCATCCACTAATTCCACTGTAGATGTGAACGGAATTTCTAATGGTTCATCTTTATTGTCTTCACTCACTTGTATATTATTATTTTCAGTTGTTGAAATAGTAGTTGATAATGATTCTGGAAAAAAAATTCAAGTAAAACATAGTATGTTATGGGTACCTATTTTCAAAAACATGTCTCTATAGAAAGGGTGATCGATTGTACCATGAAATGAAAAGACAATGGGCTAGCGACTAGAGGACCAATTATTTTTATTTCTTATTCTTGATCTTCCTAAGCAAAGATACACACCCTAGCAGGGGCGCCGATAATGTATTTTCTGGGGGGAAGTGGCTTTTTGGTTTAGGTAATGAAGAAAAATCATGTAGAAAGTCATACATAATAAAAAGTTAGAATTAGCAACAAAACTTGATTTGTTTTTGGATGAGAAATTCATATTCATCATACAGGACGTGGAAAGAAATTATTAATTGAAAAAAAAACTAATCACGAATCTGCGATTAAAGGTCTATGGAAATAACAAGTTTCCATCGTTCAAGTTTGAACCCCTTGATTGAGTGAAAGTATTGAAAAAGAATATTCTCAGATGAATTATCAACATGAAAAAATGGAAAGATATATAAAGAAATACATTGAGAATTCGCATTCTCTATGTGATGAAAATATCAATTCTTCATCGGTTTATTCAACAAGAAACAACTACTTTCCTGGCTATATGCCACGACGAACGTTGAGTTATATACAGGGTGTTTCATAATTGAATTCTGATCCTCAAGGGCGATAATCCTTGGTTGATTTCAAAGAGAAAAGTTCATATCAACATTTGTCCTAAACCTCTTAGTTATTGATCTACAGGGTGATGAAATTTCAAGAAAAAAATGAGTTTTTCATCATAATTTTTTATCACTCTTAGATATTGTTATGATATTTTGTATACACCTTTTTATTATTATGGAGCATTTTTTTACGTTAAAGATATTTAAAAATTCTCACCAGTGGCGTCCGTACGGGGTTTGAACTGACAATTTTTGAAGAAAAAAATAGTACGTCACTGATTTTTCGGAGAACCAGATTTTTTTTTCAATTCTTATTCATTTTGGAGCAAATTTGGTTCTTAGACTTACTTTCATACAACGTACCGTTTTCGCGTAAAAAAATAAAAACCAAAGAATTTTGTTCCTTCAGTTCTTGGATATTGTTTTTGGTAATTCAGTAGACACCCACTATAAGTGGAAACACATTTTGTTTTGGGACGAAAATAAAACTTTTACTTTTACCAGTGATGTCCTCGTAGACCTGATATTGAATGTTTCGTTTAAATTAACGCTGTACGCTTCTGATTTCAACACCCTGTAGCTCAAAAACTAAGAGGTTCAGGACATATGTTGAAATGAACTTCTCTCCTTAAAATCATCCAAGGATCATCGCCCTTTAGGATCAGCATTCAATTATGAAACACCCTGTATATTCAACAAACACGACAAGAATTTGAAAACAAAATCTTCTGAAGTTGAGAATTTGCATTCTCCTTCAGATAAAAATATGTATATGCACCTAATATCATCCTGAATATTCAACAGACAACAACTACTTTCCTGGCTATTTGCCACGTCGAAAATTGAATTATATCTGTTGAATATCCAAATAAAGGAAAGCATGAAAAATAAAACTCCTCTGAAATTGAGAATTGACATTATCTCTCAAATCGGATAAATAATATGATGCATTATGATATAAAAATAGAACTTACCAATATGTTCAGTTCATAAACAAGACACACAAAGTCATCTCCACAAATTTATTAACTGAATAATCAGTATCTGAACATGTTTCGAACTATCAATAGTCCATCATCAGCAGAAGCATTATTAATTGACAATTTTGTGGAAGTGAAAAAAGGAGAAGATAATAAAATTATTATGGATGAACAAGTGTTGGGATCCCCCATAAAGTCCCCTTTGGGCCATGGGCAATTTGCCCTTCATTATTGTAAGAATTTAAATCGTATCATGTAATAATTTTATTATCTTCTCCTTTTTTCACTTCCACAAAATTGTCAATTAAAATATGCTTCTGCTGATGATGGCCTATTGATAGTACGAAACATGTTCAGATACTGATTATTCAGTTAATAAATTTGTGGAGATTACTTTGTGTGTCTTTGTTTATGAATCTATTCACTCCACTTTGAGATACCATGGACTTACCATAGAATATGTTCAGTATTGAAATGAAAATTGAAATGTATAGGAGAAGTATACTTGTATAAACTCGGATCTTGATGAGCTTGAAACTTCCAAAAAAATTATTCGCATCAGTGATATGGGAATTATATCTCTCATAAACAGGTTATATGACTTTATTCGAATGAACTCATTTCGGATTTCAAACCCTCCTCAGCAACCTGAAGTCCAGTTATTCTTTATAATAATGTTCATATCTCTATAATATAACTAAAACTATAACGAACTGACATCTGAGAATTATTTTTTGTTTACATCCAATCCCTGTCATCTGGTCGTTTTTGTTTTTGGATGTATGACAAATTGAAATTCATCATACAGGACGTGGGAAGAATAGAATAGAATAGCCAGGAAAGTTGTGGTTTTCTGTTGAATATTCAGAATGATATTATGTGCATATACATATTTTTATCTGAAGGAGAATGCAAATTCTCAACAAGATTTTGTTTTCGAAATCTTATCGTGTGTGTTCAATAGATATACATTGTACGGATGATACAAAAAAAAACTTTTCATCACATACGGATGAATCAAAATTTACCAGAGAGATAATAAATAGGAGAAACCTACATTTCTGGGGAGAACAGAATCCAAGTATTGCCAGGATTGCTAATATTCAAGATAAATTCAGATTACAATTTTTGTCGATACGGACCTGAATTAATTTCTGCAACACTTCTTACGCATTTTTTATGAAAATAAGGTGTCTATGCGTTGTTTGAAATACTTGGATTTCAAAGCTCATTTTAAAGGTGCCGTCATGGCGGTCATCTAACCATGTTCTGAAATACGTCGGATATATGATGACGTCAGTTCTTATGCTGTTTCATTATTGGTCAGATAATCTTCATTCCCACTCATGCAGCAAGGTTGACAGATCACCAATTATAATCGAGAATTAAAAATATGTTAAAGCCCTTTCGTTGAATGAGACTACATCCAAATAAAATATTCCATTTGACCTAATTTATTTATTGAAGTAATACATCCAACAGACTAAAAGTCCAATTACAGGACTATATAACAAGAGGAGAATGTGCATCACACACTTATCTAAGCATAGTATAACACTATGACTATAACATAAATATCTATGAGTATGATAATGAACAGAAAATAAGAACACTATTTCAACCAATGATTATGTTAGTTTGATATGAGCCTATACAGAGCTTTTTTGAAGTGACCAGAACTCAAAAAAAAAAAAAATCTACTGAGGGTAAATTATTGAAACATCTACACATATAATTAATACCATTTTGAAAATAATGCAGCGAATTAGGTACATCAATATGGAAAGTTAGGCTAGTTCTAGAGACTGAGCGAGGTACATTGAAATTTAAGAAAGACAACAAAGTTGATGAATCGATTTCATTGTGGATAAGTTTATGGATGAAGGAGAGAGCAGCAATTTCACGACGTTTTTTTAAAGAGACAATATTGAATTCATTCAAAAGTAGGTGATAATCATAGTGTCTGACAGGATATGAGCCGTGCACTTTGAAATAAATAAATTTTAAAAATTTACGTTGAATGTTCTCAAGTTTGTCAATATACTTATTATGATAGGGATTCCATATTTTTTGGCTGGCGTATTCCATTTTCGTCCTAACCAAAGAGAAGTATACACATTTCATTGCTTCGACTGATTGAAATTCTTTGCAATTACGTATAACGAATCCGAGTAGGCGTGTTGATTTATTAACAATATTTTCTATGTGGGAAGAGAATGTCAACTTCGTGTCGAACGTTATTCCCAAATCCTTACATTCATGCACCCTCATAACAATGTTATCGTTCAGCATATAGTTGTGTACAATAGGAGACTTACGTGAATATGTCATCACTTTACATTTACTGATATTGAGTGGTAAGTTATTGGAGTTACACCATTTCACAAGGTTAGACAGATCATGCTGTGAAGAAATGCAGTCCGTTATGTCATGAATTTCACTATATATTTTCATGTCATCAGCAAAAAGGAGCTTATTCGATTTAATGGAATCACATATGTCATTAATGAACATGAGGAACAGTAGCGGCCCTAGATTGGATCCCTGTGGTACTCCAGAACATGCGGTGAACTCAAAACTTCTTTCTCCTTCATACTCAACATAAAGATTTCTATCCGACAGGTAACATTTCAGAAGGCTCTGAAGTTTAGTGGAAATTCCAAATTGGTCCAGCTTCCTCAACAGTAATTGATGAGACACTTTGTCAAAAGCCTTACTGAAGTCGGTGTAAACCACGTCCACCTGTTTCCTACTATCCAATGCATTTGAAACATATTGAGTGAAAGTACAGAGGTTTGAAATCGTATTACGAGCTTTTACAAATCCATGTTGGAATTCTGATATGGACCCAACTAATAGGAGAAAGCCATGATATTGTAGTTATTATTCTGACTTTTTCGAGCAACCAGCTTGTCAAAATATTCCTTATACTTCATAACAAAACATCATGCAAATATTAAATATTGATTTGGCAATGCTGTGCTGAATGATGAGAACTGACAAGACTACGCCCACAATACTGTGTTGTCATGTTTACCGGACCAAATATCCTCTAGTATGAATTAATATGATTATTAACACAAATTCATCATGAGCAATAAGACACAACATATAAGAGGGACTATTTTGAGACAATGGATTTTTATAGCTATTTTACTAATACATTTTGCAATTGAGAATTTATGGTCTGCCCCGACTTACGAAATCGTGACGTTAGTTTTTACTTGCGGTGAATTTCTATCCGCTTGAAAATTACCGTGACAATATTGATGATTTTAGCACCTTGAAATCGACCGAAAAAAATCTAAAAAATATGGATTAACGATTCCAGGGAGTTAATTCAAAATTTTAACTTCCTGATAGGAACCCATACAGAAAACAGTAAATCAGAATTCAGATTGCGAACGTTCCAGAAGACAATATATCCAATTAGTATAAACGACTTTCCGAGTAATTGTGGGAAAGTAACGCCTGTGCTGTATGCAGACGATGCTCTTTTCATTGTTGAGAGTCGCGACAGAGCCTCTTCAGAGGATACAATCACTGTCTGTTTGAACAATATTGTTGGATGGTGTGCAACAAATAAAATTAAAATAAATTTTGGAAAAACTTTTTGTATGCCTTTCGCGAATAGAAATGTGGATAACCTAACTTTACCATTTGAAATTAAATCAGTCAAAATGATAGAATGTCTGGGGTTTAAACTCGATCGATACTTCTCATGGAAGGAACACATCAGTCACAAATACTAAGCTGAGCAGATCATGTTATTGCTTACGTGCCCTATCTAATAGACAAGTGAGCGAAAAAGTTTTAAAAACAGTTTATTATGCAAACTTCGTGTCACATATGTCATATGGCCTAATTCATTGAAGAGTAAGCTCCGATTGGCAGTCAGCTTTCGTGTTGCAAAAAACAGCAATCAGAATAATGAAAAAACTGAAAAGAAGAGAGCCTTGTAAAGAACATTTTGTACAAATGGAAATTCTCACTTTACCAAGTTTATATATATATATAATCTCTTAGTGTTTGTACATAATAATAAAAGGAACTATCAGTTTGCCAGCTCACAAACTCGACAATCTTCCAGTCTAATCATCCTACCCCCACACAACTCAACATTATTCCAAAAGAGCGCTCATTACATGGGTGCTAAATTATATAATGTGCTTCCAAACGATATAAAGAACTACAATTCTAGAATATTCAAGATAAGAATAAAAGAAATTTTAATTACTAAGGCTTACTATACAATTAGTGAATACCTTATGGATGATAATTTCGCCCTAACAAATAATGTTTGAGGATTTTTTCTCTCTCTTTTTTGAACCAAAAATATTCATTATGCACAACGTCGTATGTCCTGTTCTATCTAAATAGGTATGTCTACTCCTGTTAGCGATTTTTCTATTTTGTCATAAATTATTATTTTTTGTACTTGGTCAAGTTTACATTTGTTAACTCTCGAACTTATTCCTACACATGTGTATTACCATGTTTTTTTTGGAAATAAATCTATTCTATTCTATTCTAGTCTGCATATCTGGTATGTGTATTTTTTAACAATACAGTATTTAATAAACTGTCCAGCAAATAAAAATGGCACTTGAAATCTTTCATCTGATATTGATGGTAGTTCTTCCAAGCTATCGATTGAATCACCAATAGACATTTCCTGCAGTCAGATTTTAATTTGAGCATATCAGTACAGGGTGCAAGCATGTGACCGTTTTTTAAAGGGCAGTTTGAAGTTCGATGTAACTTTCCAACTAATAAGTTTTATGCAAGTTAAATATTGAAGAATCTTAAATTACTGCAACTTGAATTATACAACTTTAAGTTGAAAGTTGCAGAATTTCAAATTATTCCAAATTATTAAGAAAGAAAAATTCTGATTACTACAGCTTATATCTTGCAGTTTTTGAAGTTATGCAACTTATAACTACTGATAACTGCAAGTTATAACTTTTACATACGACCACTATAGAAAGTAGGCAAGAACACACGAGATACAGCCTCAGTAAGTAGCTCTTTACACACAGTAAGCATATCGCACAGTTTTCATTTATTCCGCCAGTAAAGGTATGTCATGATCGCGTAATCGCCGTCAACAGCGGATGATATAACTGTCAAGAATAATAATCCAGACTGTTTGTTCTAACTTTTTTGATGTACGATATGGCATTAGGTGAGGTATAGTACGTAATGCGTGTTGTAAAGCAATTACGCACTCGCCGCTCTGCGGCTACGTGCGTAACTTTTCCATTCGTGCGTAATATGCTTCTTACAACACATATTACGTAATATACTAATATGATTTTGAATTAATGCAGTTTGTAAGACTCTTGAATTCAATATTGTTTTATATAGTATTGAGCATTTCAGACATGATATATCGATATGGTCATAGCAGTAAATAAGTTTCCATTTATACCTACTCAATAATACAAGTTTATAGGATACAAAAATTCTTCACTGGCAAACAAACAAAATACTCAATACCATAAAAATAACATTTTTGAAATATAGTGAAATATGTATAATATAAAATGAAAACTAAATGATGAATATTAAGAGTTGCCAATTAAGGACAGTTAATTGGGATAAGCTTGTATATATTATTATTCGTATTGAATGCGGTTAATCTGTTCACAAACAGTAACCACTACTCAACCCCTGCATTACTGTTATTATTATCATCACAGAAGTTTTCCTTCGATCATGGACAGAGTTTTTTTTTTTCAAACTGCTCGCACAGAAAAAAACTGAATTCTTGAGAATTTCTAAAGTTACAAAACATACATATATACAGGGTGTTTCATTAGTCATGAATCAAAAGAAGTGGGGCGGTAGGGAGGGTCATTTCCAATCAAACTAACTATATACGTGGTTATCCAATTGTTGATGATTCAAAAGTTATTAATTTTCTTCATTTATATAAAAAATAATAATTGCAATAAAGCTATGTCACATTTGTGATTTTATCTTCTACAAATTGTTTCCACGTGAATGCACCTTTTCCCAGAAATAATTTCATGACATGTGTTACTCTTCTTATCAATAATCTGAGGAATATTTCGTTTTTCTTGAGTTTTGTCATTCAATGAAATATTTAAGTTGATTTTTGAATGCAGCAGGCAGATTTAAGAACTACCTCACAAAGATAACTTATTATTAGAATAAATTAAATGTGAAAAAAAAATGAATAAAAAACTTTTATTTAAATGCTCTAAAAAGAATAAAATGAAATGTTCCTTTATAATTTCGACTATCAACTTATAACCTCATTATACACAATTTATATGATCATGTCTCTTTGTGAGGACTATGTCCATTATTTTCTTCCCAGTTGTTTAAAACAGTCCCCTTGATATTCCTTTCATCATGTCCTCAATTGCTTCAGATAATTTACTAAATTCTTGGAAAATTAGGAAAAACAATTGTATTATAATGAGTACTCACCCTTAGCAGATTCTTTCTCTTCAAAGTCACTCGAAACATTATCATGAGCTGATACATTCTCAATAACAGATTGTCGAATTGCTTCTTTGCGCCCTCTTCTTGTTGAAGGTCTCCTTTTTATTGGAATTTTAGCTCTATCCTTGAAGAAATAAATTGAGTTGAGATTGATATAAGAAAATACCAAAAATAAAAATATCTTAACAGGAATGTATGAATCCCTAAATTGATATTTTGCTGAAATTACAGCCTGGGGAACCAACAACAACCTAGTTGAATTCAACCCCACCACTTTTCTCTACAAAGGTGGAATTCAGTATGCCTGCGTTATATCAATGTCTGGTAATACCATTCCCACAAAAGTCCACTATATATCTGTTCGGTATTTCCATCAGCAATACTCTTTCATGGGAAAATCATGTCAGATCCATCGAGAAATAAGCTGCTTTACAAAAACTCGGATTTTTATTCCGTACGCACAGATACTGTCTATTATAGAATAATGTTCCCAAACATACGCTGGTGATGCTCTTTCAGATTCCATCCAGAGAAAATCCATTTGTCTGGTGGGTGATGCCACATTCACTGAATTTTTGAAATCATTGGAACACCGTAGGAAAGTCGGCGACCTGTCACTTTTCTATAGATACTTCCACGAAAAACGTTCTTGCAAAAGTCCAAGAAAAAACCCAATAGCCACCTTCTCTCTCTATCTTTTGTAGGTACGCACGATGTTCTTCGAACATTATTATAGGGATTCCCTTTCGTGCATTCCAAGAGATAAAAAAATTAATCAAGTCCAGATAATATTTTTATCAAAGATGTAATTGTAGTTATAAAATCTGGATTGAAAATATAAAGCTTGAAAAACAAAAAGTAATAATAATAGTACATCCAATAACTATATATACATACCATATAACCTCTACCTCTGTTTTTAACCTTAATTGTTTCACCCATGTTTTAGTGGCCCTGTTTGTTTGTTTTATCGAAAATGCCTTGACGGGTCCCTAGGCGAGAAGCGAGTGTCCCATGTATTTCCCTTCCACAAACCATAAATAAACATGATGAAACCTATGATGATACAATATTGAGTCTGGCTGATGGGACCATGTCCACAAAGCCATTGAAAAAAGAAAAAAAAATCTCTAGCGATTGAGGAAGGAAGAACTCACTGCGCTGTCTAAAAATATATACACTGTCCTATTTGCTGACATATGGTGCAGAGGCTTATAAAATACTGAACCTAAGAGGGCAAGATGTAGCATAGTAGGTATACATCTTGTATTATCTTAGATTGAGTAATTTTGGTATCTAGTGTCAATGTGTCATGTAACAAAAGGTGGAAATTGACAGAGATGTCGTGGGGCCGTCTTGGTAAGTAAGACTTTTTCCTCCCAACTCCACTTTTGTAGAAAACGTCGTGACCCAGCTGGCCAATTAGCGGCCACCATACAAATAGAGGCCCCGCCCACTTTTGAATGTCGAGTAATTCAAACGCCAGGCCGCTCAAATATTATGTCGTCATTTTCGATCCTATTCAGTTGGCTTGTCAGAATCACTAGAATAGTATTATTATAGCTTACAAGATATCATATCATATCATATAACATGTTGGATGATTTAGATTTAGACCACATAACCCTGTACAACTTGAATTTCCGGACTCAATACAATATCTTGACCTTACCTTAGTGATACTAGGCAGCACTTCAATATTTTCTGCATTTTCTAAACTAACAGACTTATATATATTTCCATTCGCCGAATCCTCATTTGAAGTAATGTTTGATTTCAAAATGCATTTAGTTTCATCATCTGTTGGGGAATCTAAACTTTGCGATCTTGTAAATTCTCTAGTTTTTGGTGGTATATACCCAGGTACCAATGCATTAACATTTATATTCAAATTATGTTTCAGTTTACCGGGCGAACCTACAAGAAATAATCATATAGACATCTTAAGCATCCTCACCCACTTATAGTAAATGTCATACCTTTAATTTTTTCAGAAATATTCGCATCACTTTTTGCAAAATCATCAATTGACAAGATTTTACTTTTATTTGCTTCCCCATCAACTTCCGTTCTGTCAGTGATCAACAATTCTTTTTCATTATGATTTTGCCCTTTGTCGAAGCTCAATGGAACATTTGTACTGTCATCATATAGAAGAATATCTGACAACGTAGGATTTCGTAAAGAATGGAAGGGATTGCTATGACCCAAAACATCTATAGTAGCTGAAATACATTTGTAATAACAGATCATCAGATAACAATGAATATAAAATGCTCGATGAGCACATTCGTATACTATTTCTTCAACCACATGATAAAAATACCAGAATACACGAAGATGATACTATATGTAAGAGATGAGTGTGTAATGTGCTTAATTGATCTTCTCTGTTGATGTTGAAATAGTCTTATCAATGTAATACCTGCATCACAGGAACTTAAAAAATAATATATATAGTCGCATAAAGGTAGAAGTCTGTTTCATGCTTCTACAAATGGCCAGTAGATGTGGCTACTTGTTTGAGGAACATTGTCGTGCTGTATATTATGGGACAATACTTATTTGTTTTACTAGGCAGGAAACCAGCCGCATTGAATCTGCTTTTCTGCCATGTGAAACATATAATGTTTACTCCAAATTTGTTCCAATTGTACGCGAAGTCCAAATGATCATTTTGTGTTCATCCAATGTCATTGCCAACTTTGATTAACAATTTGATTTGAATTATTACTTGGAACCTTGGAACGTTGCATAGCAACAAACTTTTTCTGCCAAGGCAGTACTTTCTCTGCCTAGACAGAGAAAGTACAGTTTTTCTGCCTGTTGAGTGTCATTGAAAATACACATTCAATGTCAGTTGGAGAAATAAGTTATTTAATTTATTTTGTTTTATCCAGATTCTGATCTAAGATGAGTCCCAACAATTTCAATGTATGTGTTTTATGACCTAATAACTTTATATCAGTGCAGACGAAGAAGGCTCAACACTCTATGTCTCTGATTATGTCTCTTCGCTGAAAAAAATGGCTGAACGTTACCCCCGAGGTTACCACTCAATTTAGTAGGAAAGCCGGCTGCAAATTTCGACCGTCATCTTATAACGAAATGAGGTATGTCTCAAAGGAATGTAAAAACATTGTATTTTATCGAATGGCCAACTGTGCCAATCACTATCCTGAGCAAAATGATTGAAAAATTGCACATTTCTGTGGCGGTAAATTTAATAATAATAATAATAGGGGCTTTATTTTTAATATCCTCGGCGAAGTCCAGCAAAGCTGTTCTACTTAACCGAGTACCATATTACATTAGAATTAAATAACAACCTACATAGTAGCTTGAATATAAAACTAACTTATCTATTAAATATAACTATAACATTATTATCGATTCTAAAATACGGTCTATTAACGAAAGAAAAATAATTTTGTTGAATTTTTGAAGTGAAACATTGATTTATTCTTGAGCTCTTGTGGGAGAGAATTGTATATTTTAACTGCATTATAGGATAAGCATCTCTCATATAAAGCTGTTCTATGCATAGGCATCACGAGAAGACCTGTATTTCGAGTGGAACGATTATGAATTTCCGAAGTGAATGTTAATCGATGATGAATGTAAATAGGATTTTTTTCTTTTAATACTTTGTGAACCATGCAGGCAATATGCAATTTACGCCTATTGAACATATTGAGCCATCCCAATTCTCTAAGTTTATGAGAAATGTGGTCTCTGGTTCTTAGTGAGTAAATGAATCTGATACAGGAATTCTGAATCCTTTGAATTCTCGCTGATGAAACTGCATCCAAGCATGGACCATTTACTAAATCAGCATAATTAGTATGACTCAATACTAGTGATTCACATAGTTGCTTTCTCAAGGGTACATTGATGAAAGACCTACTGCGATATAGATTCTTCAATGAAGAGTAACACTTACTAACAATAACCTGTGCCTTGAATCTCAGCTTACAATCGATAAGAATTCCTAGACTTTCCAGTACATCACAGGGCTCTACTCTAACAGTAGCAATTTCAATTTTCAAATCAGATTTCACCTCTACTGATACATTACCAAAACATATAGCTTGGGTCTTCTTTGGGTTAATCTTCAGCCCATGCTTATTAGAGTATGCAACTATGTTCTCCAAAGTTTGATTTATATCTAAACATGCAGTATTCAACTCATCAGCAAGGAAACTTTTATAAACTTGGGTGTCGTCAGCAAACTGATCAATTGTACAATTTACAGAATTCCTATTGAGGTCCATAGTATATATTAAAAATAGAAGAGGTCCGAGTATTGTATTTCGCGAAGAGATAACGAGATACCGATCCCAATTGAATAGTAGTTCTCAAAAACCTACCTGTACCATCACTTAATCTGAGTCAAATCATCGGCATAACGATTTTTTTGCTACCGTTATTCCGGATATACTTCCGTTACGTGTTAACGAGTTGAAACAACATGCAAAAAAAGTTGATAATGTCCCCTTCGCAAATCTCCAAACGTGCTGCGATTTAAACTAATAATAATATCATTTATTCGTGAATAACAAAAAAAAAACAGATATGAAATATACATAAATATAGAAAAAGTAATGAGTATAAATAACATGAATGAATGACAAAACTCGATAAATGATCAAAACACTTGTTTAGAGAAACATATTCTTTTCTATATATAAATCTTGAAGACCATAAATAACTCATCGCCATTAGTAACCCCGGAATATGTTGAAATATGTTTATTGATGATCATGTATAATATGTTGATAATACTGATACATTTAATGATATCAATCTAAGTTAGTGCCAGAACATCAGTATTTCCGAGATCATTTCGCACTTGTTCGGTTCGATAAACTGGTTCATCGGATATTATCCTTGGACAAAGGCGAAATATTCCAGGGAATCGCGGAACGTATGAATATTCGTGGAGGGGGCATTATCCTCTTTTAAGTGAATTTTCATCCAACTCGTTAACACGAGACGGAAGTATACAGGGTATTGCGAAATTCGACCGGCAACGCTTGATAGGTGGTAGCCCTCATAATTTCATAATCACTGAGATAGGGTCTTCAAGTGTTCAGTTCTCGAGGCGTTGAAGTTAAAAAATTAAAATAAATTTTTCGCAATATCTGAAGAAAAATTGCATATAATGCATTCAAATTCGGTATATGGTTCCATCTTTCAATGGTTCATTTTTTGACCAGAAAGACATTGCGAGAATTTTATCCAGATGGGCGCTACAGGGGGTTGTGATAACTTCTCCTCCCATATTTTCTACGCCACTGATGAAATTTCGATTAATATCAATTTCTCGAATTGATTGTTCAATTATGTTGAAAAAATGCATCACCTTCAACTGAGCTAAAATAAACAGTTATCGAGATATTCGACCCAAAATAGGAGTTCCCATAGTAATTTTTCATCTTCCTCAGTAGTAGAAAATTACAAAAAGTTTGTTTTCTCTTTATGCGTGGAATAACTATTTTTGTTCAGCTACAGAATGACATCTGAATAGTATCTAATCTACTCAACACCAGAAAAATATGTTTGCAATTTTCTACTACTGAAAATGATGAAATATTACGGAGTGTATGATGTTCTACAAATAGCAATGAACTCCTCCCAGATGTCACGAATGGGTGCGAATGTGTCAATTCTGGTTTGTTTATCATCCAAACGAAAACAATCTAATAGAAACAAGAAGCGATCACAGCTCATTGTGGCCCTATATAAATTTCCTAGGATCAAACATCTTCTTCGCATTCAGGTGATTGTTTTCCATCACTCCCGTAAAAATGAGAAGTCCAATGAGTGCTAGTACTTCTTCCTTGCACGTTTTCGAGATTGTCGAAGTTTTTGAAGCATACGAGACCGCTTTCAGTGTGATTTGCTCATTTGTATGAAGAACGATTGCATCTAATATATTGTCCGTACAAAAATGCCTGAAGCAACTAACCGGTGTCAACAACTATGAAGCAGGACCTTTGCTTCCAGATACAAAATGAATGATGTTGTGAGCAAGAACTCTTCTTTGCCGACGTGGTTCAATTATGGACCATCTGTGATGATTTTTGCCCTTCAGTGAAGAATTTTTGGAAGAAATCACATGCTTCAGGGTATCAACAATTGTAGATAATGGTACATTATCATCCAAATCGTCATCACTATACAACATAGACGTAGCAGAACTAGTATGATGATTTGCTTCTTGATTCAGTGAACGTTGTGAAGCTCCAATATCCTCGTCTTCTGAATTCTCCTCGTCAGAATCGACCTCTTGGGTTTCTACAAAATCTCCTTCATTTTCGCTACCTGAAGTTTGTATTTGTTCCTCATCACTAACTGTTCCTTCCATGATTTTGTTTGCCTCATATTTTAAGTCGGCTGGAATTTAAAAACTTGCATGAATACTAAACTTTCGTAATATGAACGAAGTTAAAAGTAACGTAAATAACAAACATTCCTAAAATTGACGACGAACATACAGTAACTTCGATAAAAACGATCTCACTGCGAATTCCTCACGAGTGCAACTGGCTCAGGATAAAAGACGCAGCTACTGAGAATCAGGCGTAGATTGTACTTGCGGAAATATCCGAACTAGGCGAATCGCGCACGAGTCGTAAAATTTACGAAAGTTTAGTGTTCTGGGGTCAACAGGTTGAGTGCCGTGACAGTCCAACATGGTCTCGCATATATCCACAACTGATTTGGCTGCATATCTCCACAGCGGCCTCTCGCAGCATTGTGAACTAAATGGCGTTCGAAACAGCGCGGCCTGGTGGTCCAGAGACATATTTTGGCCTGTGGATGTGAGAGACCAAATTGGTAGTACGTGGCTAGGAAATGTTAGTAATATTTTTTTTCTCACGCAAATATATAGGTACTTTTATTAGTTTTCTTCATTTATACATCATGAACATGTAAAAAGATCATTCAGAATATTCTAAGAATGAAATAAATATCATTCATTGAACAATATACCTACTGTAAGAAACTGCACTAGTCGACGGTATATCATTTCTGAATGTTTGAGTTCTTCTAGCACCGACTCTCTTTTTGAATTTGGGACGTTTTCTCGGTTGTTTGGAAGATGCATTCTTCAACGATGACGATGAATCTACTGATGACTCACATTGATATTCATCAGAAAGATACACGTCCCCAAACAGTGATTCTCCATCTTGATTGCTTCAGGTTTCGTCTTCATCGGACACCTTCTGACATAACTTCGTCAATTGCTTTTGTTCTTTCTCGTACGAGGCCATGATGTGACTCTTGCAGTATCACGAGACAAGTTGAGCAGGTCTGCCGGTTCCCCGCTACAATTCTCAATATGCAGACATGCGCATAGCGTAGTGACACGTTGGTCTCGCGCAGCCGCCTGAACAAAATGGTCGTATGAGGGGCCGTGTGAGACCAATGTGGTCTCCAAAAATGAAGCGCCATTTTCAACCTTCCCCAAAAATTCCGGCACATCAAAAATAAAAGTAAATATCAACAGTACGTTAGTATCTGATGTTTTGGCAAAAATAATGTATCGGCCTCTGGAACCGATATTTTTTTATACATGGTGGCACTCATCCTGTTAAATTGGCATCGGATGGCATAATTCTTATCTCGTTATCAAATCGCGAAATTTAGGCAAATCACCGCACAATCAAGTGCAATTTTTCAATCACATTGCTCAGGATAGTGATTGGCACAGGTGCCGTTCGTTGAAATGCAATTTCTTACATGCCTTTGGGATATATGTCATTTAGTTATCAGATGACGGTCGAAATTTGTAGTTGGCTCTTGGACTAACTGTGGCAATGGCGACAGTCTAGACCGACAGAATACAAACTAGAGAAGTATGGGTATTGAATGCATTGCCTTCAGTGTATCTAGTGGGTTCATGAAGTGTGCAGGTGTTCAGGTAAATTAAGAAAATTATACTCACAAATCTTGAATATTTAGCAATTAACATTACAAAAACAACCCAACCAAGTATCTATTGAGCTATATTTTTTCCATTGAAAATTCACAAAGTTTCTTAAAGTTTTTTTTCCTTGTCTTTGCGGCATTAATTAGTTTTACCTGGTGATACTTTCTGCGGTTCAACACGAATCCCATAATTTATGTGGTTGAGAAATACTATTTTTTATTCTATGTTATTTAATGGAAATGATTTCTTCCATGCAACTTACCATTTGTACTTTCCAGCAAATTATCTGAATTACTACCTGTACTGTCCGTGGTTTCTGTTATGATTCCAAGATTTGACGAAGCTGTTGCTGAATCCATTCTACTCTTAGTTATGAAAAAACTATCTTGTGACTGCTGATCACTAAAAATATCAGAAGAGAGCCTTCTAGAAGAAGATGCATGAGGACAAAAAGAAGAATCATCTGTGTCTGCCCTACGAATAAAAATTGTAAATTGTACTATTAATGTGAAAAATGTACAAGCAATCAAAATTGTGACAATTTTTTACGAACATGTTTTTTAATAAATCTAATATTACCCATATGCAACATAACTGAAAAAGAAAATTCGAATACCAGCGAAAACTTCCATGACCTATTATCTCACGGATGAAAATTGATATCAGGATGATTCGAAACAATACTTTGATAGTGTAATATATACCAGTTGTTGTTGTCATGACATCTATCAAATTATTATCAACAAATATCATTGATATCTTCACATGGTGGCAGCTTATAAAAACCTACGCTTCTGAACGAAGATAAACAAAGATGAAACATTCAGCAAAATCTATTGAAAGACATATTCAAATTGTAAAGCAATTATTCACCAAAATAATTGAAGAGAGAACTACAGAAACTGGGGACCTATACTGTTGGCTATTGTGTATTACAATAATACATCGAAAGCCGATATTTCAACGCCATCTGAAATATTTTATTGAAAAAAAAAACTAGACCTTTGTTACCAGTTCATATGGATCACTTGAAAATCAATACTTATAGTAGAAATTCGCAAGAAGTTAGTCGCTCATCAACGTACTAAAAAACCATATTATGACAGAGGAAAATAACTTCTTCGTGATTTAGTACGAATGCAAAAAGTATTGATTCAGATTAATGGGAATTGGGAACCCGCTTCTGTTAAGCAGAAGAACATGTTTGAAGATTATATAGTGGAAGATGCCAGAGGAAAACCTGCGCATATGGAAAGTGTGGGAGATTCAAAAATATTCCTATTTCTGAAAATCATACTTCGGATGAACATAAACTGACTTCAGTCGTAGAGTTGGCAAAGCCTGATGGTTGCAATCTTCGTCGATCTACAAGAATTCCAAGAGTTCTGATGATTATGAATTTATGAAGAAGGGGCATGTGATATATACTAGTTGTTGTCATGACTTTTATAAAAAATAACTTTCAGAACAAACTTCACTCAACATTCTACCATTCTATCAAACTATTATCTACAAATATCATTGATATCTTTACAGATAGAAAAGAGAAACATCTCAAAATTGTAACCCTTTCTGTCCAACTCCCCCACCCTATTTGTAAATAAAACCAAAATAAAATTTCAGTGAAAAATTTGTGCTAACGAAAATGTCTAGATAGAAACTACTACCTCAAGAACGAAAAGAGATCTTTTGGATCACACCAATGCCTAACTCAAGTCAGTGATTGGGAAAGCAACCACCAAGTGTCCATACTTGGGTTAGGTAAACGAACGTAGAGGTTAGGGATCGTGTCAACCCGAGGAGGTTCCCGAAAAGTCCTTATAGAGTCGCAAAGGGTAGGAATGAATATACAAGATATCGGGAGAAGATATTCGAAAAAAATGCTTTTATTCAACTTTGAACCCTAAAACAAAACTTTAGACATAGGTATTCAAGGAAATTGAAAATAACTGATATCTGCTGAAGCCAAGATTTACAGCATAGGCAGAAGACCCTTCAAGCATTACATTAATATGCCTTGAACAGCATCAGGGATTCATTCATTATTTTCAATTCAAAATATTCCGAATACGGTACACATCAATCATATCAGTATCGAGATTTACCAAGAGTAACTTTTTGGTGTAAAATTAAATAATGTTCGAGTTCACTCGGACACCGCAGCTGTATGTATTGGTATGTATTGTTAACTCAAAAAGTTTTGTTTGCAACTATTCAGTACGAACCGTGTAACTGTAGCGCACCTTACGAGAGAAAACCAATTCATGTGGAATGTCAGCTTCCAAAATACAGGGTATGTCACGACGAACTGACACTATCTCTATATCGAGAATCAGTCGGGAGAAATACATGAAAATATGCATGCTTATATTTTACAATACGTTCTCTTCATTTAAAATAATTTCAGCAATGCAGTGTTGCCGCTTCTATCAAAAATTAGCAACAACTTTGTTATTTCAAGTAGATTACCCTGTATTTTATTCCATTTTTGGATTCTTCCTGAAGAGCTGATTTCATCGATGTATCACACTTAAGGTATATCGGAAATGATTACAGAGATATAGGGTGTTCATGATCGAGATTTTTCAACTTTAGTTTTTGTTTGTGTCGAAACTATTTATTATCTGCCAAAACGGCTCACATGTCCCTATCTCAACTTCTGATTCACTATTTACGGATATTTAATCGTAACAGATACAGGGTGATCAGAAGTTAGCAAAGGAAACATTTTACAGTTATAGAATCAATGGAGCTACTAATAAGATGAAGGAGACCTGGACGATTATAAACGATATTAGAGAAAAAACAAAAAAGAAAAATGACATTCCATTGAGCCCTAATACAATAAATGAATATTATTGTTCCATTGCGAATAGTCTTGGTGAAGGAATTGTTGTCCCATATGATCCATTAGTCAATCTCGAACATTTGAGAGTTGAAAGAAATCTAATTCTATATGATACCAACATTCATGAGTTGATTGAAATTTTGAAGGAAATAAAAAACAAGAATTCAACTGGCTATGACGAAATTTCCCTGAAAATTGTTGAAAACCTTCCATTGAATGCCCTCTCTGTGTTGGTTGCGCATACCAATGTTTCATTCCAGTCCGGCACTTTCCCAGATTTTCTGAAAACTTCTGTTGTCATCCCTTTGCATAAGGGCGGAGACATAGATAATCCATTCAATCTTCGGCCGATCTCTTTAATTCCAACTATTGCCAAAATCATTGAAAAACTGGTAAAAAAACGACTCGTCGAATTTTTGAAATCCCACAATGTTATCAGTGACAATCAGTTTGGTTTTCAAAAAAACAAAAACACGCACGATGCAATATTCTCATTTCTGTATGAAGTTTATTCGGAAATAAATGCAGGTGAGATTTCCGCGGCGGTGTTCTGTGACATATCAAAAGCATTCGACTGTGTTGATCATGGAATACTGCTGAGAAAGCTTCATCAGTATGGATGCAGAGGAATGACATACAGATGGTTCGAATCATATTTATCAGGAAGAAATCAAGTGGTCAAAACGACAGAACTCTCCAAGAAGAGAAATATTGATCATGGTGTTCCACAGGGATCTGTGTTAGGACCTGTACTTTTCTTATTGTATGTCAACGACCTCACGAAAATTGATATAACTGGAAAGTTCACTCTATTCGCAGATGATACTACTATATTATGGAATAGTAGGAATCCTCGAGATCTGCATCAAATGATATCATCTGATTTGAAAAAGGTGAAAGATTGGTGTGACGCCAATATTCTGTCGTTCAATATATCTAAAACTAGTATAATATCATTCAGATCCTCCCTTGATGAAATCACATTTGGTGATAATTTTATTGAAAGTAGAAATGATACTAAGTTTCTGGGATTGTTGATCGACAAAAATCTGAAATTTGGTAACCACGTCAAGATACTCACTGGTAAGATCTCTTCTGGATGTTATGCAGTGAGAGTGATTTCTAGGGAATTAGGATTCCATACTGCCAAGATGGTATATTATTCACTAATAGATTCCCAATTACGATATGGAATACCTTTCTGGGGAGTGTGCAGTCCAACGTCTTTAAAAACTCTGTTAATTCTACAGAAACGAGCGATAAGGTATTTGTGTAATGTCAAACCCCGAGATTCTTGCAGAATTTTATTTTCCAATAATAAAATATTGACAGTGATTGCGCTATTCATTCTGGAATCTGTTTGCCTGATAAATAAACACAAGTTGAAATTCACTACAACTCCCATCCATCATAACACGCGTAACAGAAATTTCAGTTTGAAACTTCCTCTACCCACAAGAGAGTTCATTAAAGATTCCATATACTATAATGGTGGAAAAATGTACAACCACTTGCCAGTTGATATTAGATCAGCAAGTCTGAATGACTGTCAATTCAGGAAGAAAGTCAAAAAGTTCCTCTCTGATAGACCCTATTACAGTTTGCAGGAATATTATAGTGATACGTTTGAATTGTGATATTTTAGTATTTTAATGTGGTATTTATTTTGACTATATTTTGTCATTTATTTTTATGTCGTTATATTTTAACCTGTTTTTACAATATTATCTGACCTAGCTTTGTCAACAAGATTCTTCTTCAGACAATAAAGCATATTATTATTATTATTATTATTATTATTATTATTATTAATTCTGAATCTTGAACCACCCTGTATCTGTTCCGATTGAATATAAATAAATAGTGAATCAAAAGTTGAGGTAGGGACATGTGAGCCTTTTCGACCAATAATGAATAGTTTCGACACAAAAAAACCGACACAAAAAGTTGAAAAATCTCGATTTTGAACACCCTATATCTCTGTTATCTTTTTCGATAGACCCAAAGTGTGATGCATCGATGAAATCAGCTCTTCAGGAAGAATCTGCAAATGCGATAAAATACAGGGTGTTCCATTTGAAATATCAATGTTGCTACTACTTTCTAGTAGTAGTACAAGGGAAAAAAGTAGTACATTCTAGCTCCAGGTTGTGTCTCCCGACGCATAGCGGAGGATGGCAAAAAACCGTGAGCTTATCTGTCAGTCTAATTCTGCGATTTGATTTTAAAAAATGCGAATTAAGTGGTTGTTTAGTAAAAAATAAAAGGATTTGCAGTTTTTTCTCGGAGACGGTGTTATTTGCTCATTTTTCGGAACAAAAGCCATCAACAGTATATGATATATATATGGGAAAAAAGTAATTTATGAAAAGTGACATTTTATATCCTGTCAACAGAGATGAAATTTCGAACTTCTTTCCCGTCACAAAAATGAAATATTTTGAAAGAAATTAAATCACTACTATCGGTTGCACATTCAGATGAAAGAAATTAAATCACTACTATCGGTTGCACATTCAGATGCAAATAACTGCAATTCTGCAATAAGAGCACTAGCACCACCAAGTTCATACATTTGACTGTACAGCGCATTCTTCAATTTGTTCATGAAAATATAATTTCTGGTCGAAAAAACATTGTTATCCAAACAATTATAAAATTTCATGCACAGTGGGAAATTAGACAAAAAATGTCGCACAATTAAGATATTGGTTACAATTCATATCAGGAGTAATACATTTATACACCAAACATCAGCAGGCCACAATTTGGTATTGTTTTTATTCAGACAGAAACCCTTTTCAAGGGAATTCCTGTAGTCAATATTCAGACTTGACATTATATGTATCTACAGCTACCTTGAATGGCGTCTTTGCAGAAATTATGAACACAGTATAATACACCTTCTCTCTATGATTGGGTGTGAACTTCCACTTTCGATATCAATTTTGTTCATGAGCGCTTCATCCTCAAAATGCAAATTTCTGATCCACTAGGTGTTTTGGCCAAAATGAGAGAGGTCTCTCAAAAAACAATACGGCATATCATTTGATAGTAATTTTGGTGGTGGCATCGAGTCTTTCTCCTCTTTAGTGAAATCGATTTATCTAGCATTTATCCCTAACAAAAATTTTCAGGTTTATCGATATCAAACTAGATATCCCTTCGAGAATGAAGATAATCAAAATGTTTGGGAAGTAATAGCTTGCCCGTCTTTGCTCTCATAAAGGAGTTTAATCAAAATCAGCAGGTGAATTTCATATAATAACGTTGACAAAAAACCTCATCCTGATGTTGGGGACATTCCCATGTCCAAAATTTGATTCGAACTTCCAGTATTATTTTGACCTGTACCACACGCATCTCAGTTTTGATCGTATACTTATGGGACAACCTGTATAGCAACACTTCTCATACGTCTAACGAACGATTTCAATCAATCACTTCCATTCATGATTATAAAAATGAACATTCCTTCTACGACCTCCTACGATAATCGTCTTCAAATCAAACTGGAAATGCTTCAAAATTTCTTACCTCGTAGTGTTCTGATCTCTGACTATACCACTAGACTCATTGGCATCCAATGAAGGAGGTTCATTGTCAAACAGACTCGATCTGTCCAAATTCCCTTCAATCTGATAGGGGGTGAAATCTTCGGTATAGGAAAAATTGTCAGATTTCGAATCCCAATCTCCATCGTCATCCGGAGGTGGAGTGGAATCGAATAGTCTGATTGTAGGTGTCATATTTGCCTCCAGCTTGGAGTCTGGTTTGAGAGTCCTTTCACAATGATCTGTATCTTCAGAAAAGGGTTTTGGGAACAGGTCTATAAAATGATTGATTTATATGAACTTTTGTTTGTTATACTTATAGCTCAGTAAAACGGTAACGATGAAAATCCTCTCGTGGAAAAAAATCAAGTAGTCGGTTTCTGTAGGCAGAAAACTGAAAAAAGTGCGAAAATTTCGCTGTTTTTGGGAATATCTCGGAACGCTCCAGGAAATTTGGTTTACAAATTTAGATTTGGATTCAGCAGCAAGAAAAAACTTATTGAACCGCAGAGAAACCGACTACTTGAAATGTTTCCTCGTGAAAATACCATTTTATTGGACTCTTAACTGAAAGTGCCTACAAGAATTCTCAGAGCGTACATAATATGCAAGATGTCATCGAAATACATACATTAAATTCAAACCATAGGAAGGCTCAAAGTGTACTATCATGTGGCATTGAAAAAAAAGTATCAAAATAACACCTCTTTTTCCACCCAAAATTCTACTCATCGGGAGGTAGTCGCTCATGCCCAGTGAACACAAACATCCCTGGGATGTCACATTCATGTGTCGCTAGGTAATATTGCGAATCACAAGAAAACATCATTGGTATTAACAGGGGACTCTTTATTTCAAAAAACATTTGCAATATTCGTCTCATTTCAATGGATGTGATACTTGAAATGTTGGTGAATTCGTGAGGCTGCCTAACAACCAAGAGACCCACCGAATCAATAAATTTGTATGTTGAATGCGGAGTTGCTCGATACATTACTGCGAGTTTCATTTCGCATCGTACTGTGGATCATAAAATGATCAAAAGGGTCCAGAATAGCAGTCACTGTGATATATAAGAGGGACTCTCAATTCAAGTCACGGATGTGATTTGTGGCATGAATGTGGTGCCCTCTGATATCTCTGGAATCAATATGTGTTAACTGGGTGGAAGGCATATAGAATAAGGAGAATTGCGGAAAGCGAAACGACGTTGCCCCAGTTCATAAAAATGGTGAGATAGCAATTAATCTTTAGTATTGGCTAGTGAGTGGATGTTTCTTAGATCTGAGATGAATCACGTTGAATGAGTTTTGAATTGAATCTCATCACTAACGAGATCACTAATATTCAGAAGAAAATATTTCGAGAAAACTCGAATATCTGTGACAAAGTGATTGGGAAAATACGAAAATGAAATATCATCGTTAAGCATGGAATGTGAGTAATATGACACGGTACATAGGAGTACGTTAAAAACGGTAAAAAATAATGAAATAATAAAAAAATTCCAAAATTACTACTAACTACTGAAAAACAACTGCTAGTCTCCACTACAATGGTTTGCATCACACACAAGCTCGAAAGCTCAACAAAAAGGCTAGACACAAACACTATTCAGTAATATAATCTAAGAATTCAAAATACCAGTATCATAAAACTTCCATGTGGACGGCAGTCACTAGGATTTCAATAGCCATGAAGTGGCATAATCGATTTCTTTTCACTTTCTGTTCAATTTTTGAGATCGAATTTCTCTTTTATTCGAAGACTCACGAAAAATCAAATATTTTGGGAACTTTTGTGAGACATAGGTCCATAGCTTCTCATCTATGTTTCTTCTTCAATATCACCCTATATGATACATTATCCACTTACCAGCTTTTCCTGGAGGTGAAGTTTCGTCTATTTTAGCATCGTTTTCAAATCCGTTTTGATTATCATCATCGAATGACGGTGCAATCAATATATATTTGGATTCACTTTTTTCGTTCTCAGCTGCTTCCACAAGTTGCTGTCCTGAAGGATCATTACTATTCGATATACTCATGTTTTTTATTACATTATTCGTAACTGAATCATCATGCTTTTCAATTTCTTCTGATATTTTTTGTTGATTAATGGTCTCTTCAGACTTTGGGACGGTTCTTTGTTTTTTATTACCATCACCAAATATTATATTACTACTTTTGTCGGAATTTATGTGCTTCCTGTTTTCATACTTTCCCCCTTCATTTTTTGTATTACCAAGGTTGTCAGATTTTGGAGTGAATGATATGGTAGAGTTGTCTAGGTCATCAAATAAATTAAATGCTGGTTTCTTTGGTGTAACATCTGAGAATAAATCATCTTTGAATAACTCGTCGTCGTCATCATCGAAAAGGCTTATTTTTAGTTTTGAAGCCTTTGCATTCATATTATCATCGAAGTCATCCTCGAATAAACCAACTTTATTCCTTGTATTCGATATTTTGATATCAGATTTATTTTTTTCAACATCACCAACAGTTCTTGTTTCCTGAATATGAATGTTATCCTGTGATCGGAATAAATTCGGAATATTTTCTGTTTGTTTGCTCTGGAATTCATCAGTATCATCAAACAGATTAGATTTTTTGTCAGAAAAATCCCTCTTTGATGTATTTTCTTGTGTATTCTTCAATTGGTTCCCTTTGGAGATATTAGGTTTTACAGAAAGATCCCTCTTTGATGTATTTTCTTGTGTATTCTTCAATCTGTTATCTTTGGAAATATCATTTTCTTTATCTCGTTGTTGCTCTTTGAGAATATTCTTGGATACTTCAGTTCCAAAAAGATCGGCTACAGGATTCTAATTAGAAAAAAAACAGTATAATTGTAGATGTAGAAACAGTGAAAAAATCGTATATAAGTGAGGAAAGTGATGTACAGGGTGCGCCTCTTAAAATGGAGCCCCCCTTAACTCTATTGTTTTTAGAGATTTGAATAAATGTTGAATCAAAAAGTTATTTGAAACGACCCAAACTTTCATTTCGTGAAGTTGCTTCATATACAGGGTCATTCGTTTTTCGACATTAACTTTGATTATTCCAATAGAACACCCTATATATTTTCTGATATATCGATATAGCCTTTTTTCTGAATTCAAAAACATATATTAGTTGCATATTTGGATGCAAAATAATTGAGTTCTTGATTATCAAAGTTTCCATGGAGCTTGAACAATATATAAACGTTATTTCAAAGCCCACTATATCCATCTTACATTAGATGATATGTAGTGAAGGTTCATAATGCGGTATTTTGGTGAATTTTGATCATCAATAACCCAACTATTTTTCATCTAAATATGCAACGCATATACATATATCTCGAAATCAGAAAAAGAGGGGCTATCGACATGTCGTAAATTATATAGGATGTTCCATTGAAAAAATTAAAGTTGATGTCCTTACTGGAAAAACGAATGACGCTGTATATGAAACAACTTCACGAAATAAAAGTTTGGGTCGTTTGACACAACTTTTTCATTAAACATTTTTTCATATCTCTGAAAACGGAAGAGTTTAGGGAGGATTCCATTTCAAGAGGCGCACCCTGTACAGCAATCCTATTTATCTAATAACAGAGAAAGTTACAGGAGATTCTGATACATATGATCACTAGCTTAATTAATGCCGAACAACTTCTTATTTTTGACAAGCAATATTTTTTTCAACATGATATGAAATACTATATGTATAATTCTTTCATCCGATTTCAGTCACTAGGTGTGCTCAAAAAACGGCTAGAGCTGTAACTTCTGAATCATTCGAGATCGAAATATGAAATTTGGTGGGTAGCAACTATACCATATTGTTCATTTATTGACGAAAAAAAATTATTCCATCACTTCCGGTCTAACCGGAAGTGACCCCCACTTTTGATTTTCAAATGGAACCCCCTGTATATTTTTCCATTTTTAGATTCAGGGTATCATTTTACATACACCAGTAGTTTTTCCGGATCATTTTGTGTGAAACAGAAAGAACAACAAAATGAACTCAACATCAATCTTTATTATTTTCGGTAGCATTGAAAGAGGGTCGATAAAAAATTAATTACAACAAATACTCAAATTGACCCCCATTTTGTGCAATGCATTGCTGACACCTTCTAGCTACACTCTAATATTCGATGCCTAAGGATTTCTATATTCTCTGGCTGATATAGATAAACTTGATCCTTCAAGTAACCCCAAAGGGAGAAATCCATGACTGTCAAATCTGGACTGCGAGCTGGCCACCGAATCTTGTTGGAAAGTGACTTCATAACGATTGGCGAGGGGGAGTTGGTCCAGAAAATCTTCTATATAACCAGTAAGCAATTCAAAATACTTATACTGGTCTAAAGAACCGTCGATGAAAAACGGGCCTACCAACATATCATCAAGAATTCCGCACCATACATTCAAGCTAAATCTTGTTTGGAAGTTGGTTTCTACATTACAATGGGGATTTTCTTGTGACCAACATCTGTGATTTCGTCTTTTTTTTTTTTTTTTCTTTTTTTTTTTCTTTTTTTTTTAATCGCTTGGAGCGCACGAAAGGGAATCCCTATAATGTTCGAAGAACATCGTGCGTTCCTAGGGAGGATAGGGACAGGAGGTAGGTATTGGAATTTTCTTTGAACTTTTGGAGATTATATGTTGTTTGTTGGGAATACTTCCACAGGCAATGAATTCCAGAGCATAGCCGTTCTATGGATGAAGGAGTCTTGAAGATGCCATTTCACCCGAATGTACATTCATCTGACCACATTATTTTTCTATAAAATGCAGGATCTTGATTAAATCTATTCAAAAAAATATTGCAGAAATGTGTCCTACGTTCTCTGTCATTATCGTGCTCCAAGGCGTGAATTTTGCGGGGAACGTATGGCGTGTACTTATGTTTTTTCAAAATAGAAAGAACTGTTCTTCGTGACGTACCAAAATCATTTGCAATCTTAATTGTACATGTCCTGGGCGTTTCTTGTACACTGAGTAAAACATTCAATTCCAAATCTGCATCAAACTCTCGCTGTTGTTTCTTTGGTTTTTTGAAACTACCAAATTGACGTAGATAAGCTTCCAATCTGCCAAATTTTTGATGGCTAGTATGATTTCTATTCGGATATATGTTTCTATAAACACGAGCAGCATCGTACGAATTTTTCAAACATTCAAAATAAACTTGTAACATATCGGTTAACTCATTATTATTCATGTTTATAAAATAGAAAAAATATCATCACCCGTATTGAAACTTATTATTGGATGTTACTGTCACATTGAAATTGACTTACAAGGCTACCTAGATCTTGATTACTATTACCAATTAATGGGCAATGTTTAAAGATAAAAACGAATTGAAAAAATTCCTCTTGACATTTTGATCCGGAAAAACTACTGGTGTATATGTAAAATGATACCCTTAATCTAAAAATGGAAAAGTATACAGGGGGTTCCATTTGAAAATCAAAAGTTGGGGACACTTCCGGTCAGACCGGAAGTGATGGAATATATTTTTTTGTCGTCAATAAATGGACAATATGGTATAGTTGCTACCCACCAAATTTCAAATTTCGATCTTGAATGATTCAGAAGTTACAGCTCTAGCCGTTTTTTGTGCACACCTCTGTATGTATTTTTTAATGATTTTGGATCCTGATCGGAAGAGGAAACCCAACTCAAGGAAAAATCACGATTTATTCCACCGACTTGTAAACATAATTATTTTACAGTGGTGTGATAAAATTTACTTTTCTTCGGCCTCGTTTTTGTATTACAACCCTGTATCTTGGTGAATTTCGAAAAGAGGCTACGTTCTTCAAAAATGTTTGTATCTCAAGTCACAAAATAGGTTATAATGCCCAAACATATTTTTTTAAAGTTTTAGGTTTACCGAAAATGGTATTAACTTTCAAAACTTAAATTAAACACCCTGTATTTCCCAATCCAGTTTTGAAAGTCAATCAATTGACTATATTTCAGATGGAAAATTTAAGATATATTGTGCTATTTGTTGAAAGCAGTTACTGCCGAGTTTATTGTCATTAGTCGAATGCATTTGACATTTGACACCCTGATAGTCAACCTCACAATACGAAATGACTAATCCTTGAAAATATGGTCAATTCTGAACAAATCGAACCATTTCGAAATTCTCAAATCAATCAGTCATGTTGAAGATACAAAGTGATTCATATTGTAATATCTTTCGTTCTAAGAGATGGGTTCAAGACCAGAAATTATTATTACTGTTAGAAAAACAGTAATCACTCTTGCCATTCATCAATAATAATATTTGAGTGCCTTTTCCTGGTATATAAAGTGATTTATAGTTTGATTATTTTTATTATTCCATTTTCTTAATTTTTATAATTTTCACTCTTCGTTTTTGTATACAAAAATAATAGTATCATTTCAACAAACATAATTTTTGTCTATTGACTTTTCTCAGTAAGAGACGTTGATAGAAAATCACAAGTTACTGGGTAACCACGTTCATATTCAGATTTCAGGAGAGATTACCATACCGTCTGAAGGTTAATTGAGGAGATGGAACATTCATTTTAGTAGATTTCTTTTGGGGATTTTCTCACCTCGTACATGCAAATAAAAACATGAGTATTATTTCAATATACGTGTATTTTCTATCAAATATTTTTTCTATCAATTGTATTTTCTATCATTTATGTTTCTCTCAAATGTATTTTCTATCATTAAACATTCGATCAAATGTATTTTCGGTGAAAAGTTCTTTCTATTTTTTGATTTTCGATCAAAAGACTTCTATCAAATGTTTTTCTATCATTTGTCTTCCGATCAAATTTCCGCCACCCGAAATACCGTAAACAAATCGCATAGAAAGTGAAAAACCATCAATAACAACAAAAACGACAAATTACATTTCTTACAACGATTATTGCTCGTCTGCTAGGGAGCTTGGAGATGTCGCCACATTCATATTTGGATTGAAACAGCATTTGATAGAAAATTCAACGGGGCTAGGTCAGATCGTTTGTGAAGATATGATCCTTCCTCATATATTTGAGAAGATGGAGCTAGAAGTTTGTGTTATCAATAAATTCATAAGCTTCGATTTCCATCTAGATCCTTCTTCTCAAATATATGAAGAACGATCATATCTTCACAAACGCACTGACCTAACTTGAGCGTAGCCTCGTTGAATTTTCTATCAAATGCTGTTTCCATCAAGTGTATTTTCTATCAAATATTTTTTCCTATCAATTGTATTTTCTATCATTTATGTTTCCATCAAATGTATTTTCTATCACAAAACATTCGATCAAATGCATTTCTATCAAAAACACTTTCGATCAAAAGACTGCTATCAAATGTAACATCCCGTGGGAGGTAACATAAATTGGCTTCAGCTTGCTTTCTTGGTAGAGATATAGGTATGAGATCTGTGCTACCCAATTACCTAATCAGTATCTCCACTATTACTATAAAAAAATAACAATTTCCTTTTTGAACTTCAATGATCTCATTTACTTCCTCATATTCCAAACTTACTCAATCGAAACTTTAAAATGCACACAATAAACAATTTCAATATGACAAAAGTGTCAAATTTATTTTCGTTCAGATCAAATACTTTCAAGTATCCATGGCGTACTACACTTTTGTAACACATTGATTTGGATCGAGACGTACTCAAATGTATGGGTTCGTGGATCAATATGTATATATCTTAGGAGCAAAGGTTCATTTCCTCCCATTTGTGTGTAATGCCCTCCGCTACGTGTCGGACATCAAACTTCACACGCGGGAGGAAATGGATAACTTTGCTTCCTAGATATATGAATGGTTATTATGCATGAGCGGGCGTGAAGTACCACTTTACCGCTCGGTTTTGCGGTCGTAATGTGACACTCTAGCGACCGCGGACTACTTTATCGTCCGGCGTATACGTAACTCGTAATAATCATCAAGGGCATCTTTGTTTCAGTTGATGGATCATTATCTAATATCACAATTCTCTTGGTATTTCGGAGATGCAAAATGAGATGTAAAATGAAATGATCGAACCCAAAATGAGAATTTACAGTAAATAAAAGTATACTCCTATTTCGAAAAATGGTACCGTAATCAAATACACCGGTAGTGCATAAAATGTTGTATGTATAGCGTAACTTGCTCTAATGGACCTAGGCGTGTTAATGTTTACTTACACGCTACGGTCCACTAAAGCCTATTTTACGCCCTTAATACATGAATATCTATTAAATTCTCTGGCAATGATTCCTCTGAGATATACCCACTATTCGCCATTTTATTCATTTATCCGTGTTTGGCGTTTAGGATTGTTGGCATATCCTTTTTTGAACATAAAAATGGGATATTGATCATTGGGGAAGTTTTTCCGATTACTATTTACATCAAGTATCGACCGAGTCAAAATGCTTTTATATAATAACCTACCTTTCTAGCGGATTCGTCTGTAGATTTTCTACTTGTGTGCAATTCAGGTGGTTCATTATCAAACAACGGTACAATTGGATGATTTTGTTGTAGAAATGGTGTTTTACCAAGTTTACTTTTATCAAAACCAAATAACTCATCATCACTGCTGTCTTCACTGTCGAACAGACCTTTGCTAACCTTGAAATAAATTAAAATGTTTGATTTAGCAATAATGATCCTCATTATTTTCGACCACTATGACAAATAGTTAGAGAGAACAAATTTACCTTTGATGATTTTGGTAAAAAGCTTAATTTTTCTGGAACATCAATCTTTTCCTCATCTTTAAAATGCTCGCTCTTGTCAAGTTGCTTCTTAGATGTTACTTTCGTAAGATTATCCCAAATTAAGGAATCTTCATTTTCATCGAATAAGCCTTTACCTCCAGAAAAAAGACCAGTTTTGGGTTCTGGTGGGTCCAACAATGGAGGAGGTTCAACAAAGAAAAGATCACCTGAAATTGTACTTGATAATTATTGATATTGATATTTACCTTTATCCCGGTGCTGCGATAGTCCTCAAATGAAATAGTTAGATAGCGCCGGTATAGACGATTGAAATTTGACCACTTGATTATTATTTAGGCATCATCAGCTCAGAGAAAAAAATAGCAATCGCTCACCTCCTATGTCACCATACGTATTACTCCTAGCAGGTTTTATTGGTTGATTATTGATTTCCTCTTCTTTGCTCAGTACACTATTGCTATCGATCTGCTGACTATTGATTCGTTGATTTTCTTCTTTGCTTATGACGCTATCCAGTTTAGCAGCCAGTTGTTCAGCAAAAGTTCTATTTGAAAGAGGCGACTGAAAATATTGTTGAATAAGCCTCTGAGTGAAATACTATTGATCGGGAGGGAGATAGATGAATGAATGAATGCATGAACTCATTTATCATTTTCCAAAAACATGAAAATGTCATCTAGGAACACTTCTACACTGTTTTACGTCACAGGCATTACAAACCGTTGATTATCAATAATACATAATATGGGTATCATATTAATAATCTCTAGTTGATCTAATATGTAATTATTATATGAATTCGAAGTCGAATATCTGTATTTGATTAGTTTTGATGTTGATACAATTGTCAGGGTTTTTTGATAATTGTCAAAAATAAAAGTCTTTCAGACCAAATTGAGTTGGATTTTTATTGAAGAAAGATCATTGTGACCGACGAACACAGAATTCGGACAAGAGTAGTTCAATCTTCTCAAAATACCCACTGGCCAAGAATTTTTTTTCTAATATATTCTAGAGGTGCTTGTCAGGATAATTGTGTATCAATTATCAGTCCCAAAAACTTTATTACGTTTTTATATAGAATTGATACACTAAGTTATTTTATTTTTAACATATGCAGGTACAGTGCTATCGGCGAGGAATTTAACCGAAACATGCAATTGTAGTATCATCAGTATATATTATAACATCTCCAATTATTTCCACTATAGCTATAGAAATTATTTATATTAAGTAAAGAGAGGGACCCAAGATTGAATATGGAATTAACATTGAGGGTGACATAGTGAACGACTTTACATGTCAGCAGAGTAGATAAACACAACAACTGTTGACTCGCTATGTATGTTCAAAAATCATTTTCAGGAAGCATATATTCATCATTCTGAGTAAAAATTTAGGAATTCAATTTTAAGAAATTGATGAATCTCAATATCTTTTATGAAATTTGTACTAGTCGTTTTTAGAGAAGAGGTTCACAACAAAAGTATGGAATTTATGTTGAGCCTTCCAATTCCTCCTACTTAACGTTTGATGCCTGAATCAAATGTGAGTATTGTGTTCAACTGAAATCTGATGAAAAGAGGACTTGGTGCACTCCTTCCATTACAGTATCTTCTGTCTACGAAAATATTTCCACGAGAAAAAAGGAAAGGAGGAGGCATGTCGAAATCGACCAGACGTCAATATAGGCAGTAAATCGTCTAAAAATTAACTATTTTATCCTTAAACAGAGGCAGAAATCCATAACCTTCTTCAGAGTGAGTTAAATAATAAATTCTTCTCAAGATTTGAAAATTTTCTGATACATTTTTAAATCTAATGAAAAAATATTGGTTATAATTACTATTCCACCTAGTTTTTTCAAGATATTTTAATATGCTTTTTTTAATAATTATGATAGTTACAGAATTTCCACAATAATTCAGCACGGATTCCTTTTGAAATTGTAATAGGTGCTACGGTCAATTTAGAAATGGTCATACTGTAAGACAGAACACCCAAATACAATACTATCCTAAAATTGTCTCACCTTGATTGGCAATGAATCCTCTCTATCACTGTCATCACTTTGAGTTGTTGAATCGAGCTTTTTGGCAGAATCGTTGAATGTGGAATTAGCTACAGGCCTAGTTTCACTAGTTTGGCTCAAGAAGTCTAATTCCGAACTAGATTCTGACCCTTTCAGCTGAAAGAAGACAAGCAAAATATTTCCCATCCTAAATCTAGTTACTCGGCGAAATGTATGTCTAGTGGTACCACAAACGAAAAACAGAAAGGAGATCAAGATTAATAAGACAATATTAATAAAATACTATTAGTGAATCACCGAACCTGATAAAATTATTCATTATAATTCTGTTGTTTCAATTTGGGGAAAGTATAGTGCTGCATAATTTTCAGAGATTTGATAAATACTACAGATATAATCTAGTCAACAGGCGAAACGGAACACTGCATAATTTCGTACGATTTGCATGTACTCGTATTGTAACTTGTCAAGATTACAGCTGATAAATTTTTTTTTGCTCTCCGTTCCCTATAGCACTAGACATGTAATGACATCGTGTTATGAGCTGTAAAACTCTGGAATAAAAAGAACTATAAATTTTTCTTTTATAACACAAATTCAAGCTGATTCTCGAAATATTTTGACCTCGTCTCTGCTTTCAAATTTCAAATATAGCAGAAGTGACCACAACTCATTCATTTCAAATGAAAGACTCTACCTATATCGAGGGTGTTTCAGTTTCAACCTGCCAAACTTCGCTAAATCATAGTATTTATCATACTATACAGTTGGTCTTTCAATAAACACGCTCTACTGTAACATGCGAATGAAACAAATTGTGTAGGAAATTCTATCAATTTTGTTTTTACTTGAAGGACTATCTTCATGACATCACCTAACTAATTGATTAGATGTTTATAGAGAACCAGAAAAAAAAAACATCCATCTAAAATTTTTTGTGCAGCCATTGCGTGATGTGATCTATTTTTCTTAAATATTTTCCGGTTAAACCGGATGTGAAATTAACTTCATTTCTTCAGATGGAAAACCCTGTAAGTATATTATTGAATTTTCGAATTTTTCCTGAAGAGCTGATTTCATCAATATATCACACTAGGGGTCTAGCGGGATTGAATACAGAGATATAGGGTGCTGAAAATCGAGATTTTTCAACTTTAGTATTTCTTTTTGTGTCGAAACTATTCATTATTTGTCAAAACGGCTTACATGTCTCTATCTTAACATTTTGAATTACTATCTACTGACATTTAATTGAAACAAATACAGGGTGGTTCAAGATTCCGAATTCTGATGAACACTTCCGGTTCAACCGGAAGGCAATTGAAAATATTTTAGAAAAATAGATCACATCACCCAATGTACCCAAAATTTCAGATGGATGGCTCTTTTGGTTCTCTATATGAATATACAATGAATTAGTTAGTTGAATGACAATAATGTTCATACATTCACAGCAGCTTTGTTAAAGTTTTCGACGACATTGTCGCAAAAATGTGGAATGGATGGCGATCGTTATGTTGACTTTGCGAGGATAAAAATTACGTTATGATCGAACCATTTCACCAACAGAGCACTGATTTTGTTGATGAAATTTACTAGTAGTTCGCTTCAAGGTGATTGATATGTCATACATAATATGTTGTTTAATACTTTGTCAATAAGAAATTATGGTACCTATATTTTTTATTGATTGATAGTACTCACCATATCCTTTGGTAGATTATCTTCAGAATCAGATTCACTATAAATTTCTGATACTTTATCTGATTCAGTACCACTGGAAGAATCCTCCAAATTCCATTTCTTGTACCACTCATCAGTTCCAATTACAGGGGGTAAGGCACGTTGTGAGTATATATCTTTTGGTCGTAATACAAAACTAGAATAAGTACAGGGTTTCCAGTTTTCCATGCTTTCGCTTGATATCTCAGGTATCTTTGGGGATAGAACCTTGCGGTTTTCGCGGTCCTGTGCCACTTTTTTGTGAAACTCAAGATGGCCTAATCAGATTTTGCATAACTGTTTCCGTTTATGATATACAGGGCGATTTTGAAAATTTATACTTTTAGGACCTCCTCGATATCTACGAAGTTTCTAGCGAAAATGTCAAATTAAAATCATATCCCATAGAGAATTTTACGCAGAATCCAGTGGCGCACTCAATTTTTTTCGAGGTATGGTTTCAGAGATATGACTTATGATTTTTATAATCTCAATAGATTCCTTATATTTCCCCTTCAAAATGATATACAGGGTGTTTCGTTAGGAAAGGTAAATAATTCAACTGTGGATAGGGGTCACTGAGGTGATTTCAAAAAACCCATGGTTGATGGGTCTTCGACTTCTTATAACCGAGATACAGGATGTTTCATCAATTTTGTCCATATCTTCATTGTCTCATAACTTCCCAACCAACCTGTACATATATTTAAAAATTGGTACACTTGCTCAATTTACCCTGTGGAATTGATTGAGGCAACAACAAAAAATAAAATCCAGGTCCGGCTTCACTTAAAATTCACAAATTCTTTCTGCCAGAAAACAACACCCTATACATTCGAATTTCTTATTTTTTTTGCCATATCTGAAAAGAACATCAAAATTTCTATTCAACGATGTGCTTTTCATTCGTGCACAGACGATTTTAACTATTCATATTATGTGCTCAAAATATTATTTTTGCTCATTTTGGGGTACAAAATTGGAATCTTCCTATTCAGTATACGTGAGTATTACATTAAGAAGGAGTATTTCATATCGTTCTTTGTTCCATACTTAGTTGCGGGTCCGTCATCAAAACTATACAGGGCTTTTCACGATAAGCGTTAATTAGATGTTTCTGGAAAACCAGGCAACGGATAAATATAAAAATTCGAAGGTATGTATAAATTAACATGATCTACACGTCTGAAATATTTGAAACAATCCGGCGTTGCCCTTTCTACTCGAAAGTAGCAGTATCTTTGATTTTTCAAATGGGACACCCTGGATGCTTCCTGAAGAGCTGATTTAATCGATTCACAAAGTTCGGGGTCTAGTGGGACTAATAACTGAGATATTTAGAGTGAGAAAAATCGAAATGTTTCAACTTTAGAATTATTTTGCGAAAATATTTATTATTGATCAAAACGGCTTTTATGTCCCTATCTTGACTTTGTATCTATTGACATTTAATAGAAACAAATACAGAGTGGTTCATGATTCAGAATTCTGCACCACCCTGTATCTGTTTCAATTGAATATCGAATGGAAAGTTGAGATAGGGACATTGAAGCCGTTTTGACCATGCAATAATAAATATAGTTTCAACACAAAACATTTTTTAAGTTGACACATCTCGATTTTCCACATCCTATATCTCAGTTATCAGTCCCGCTAGACCGCTGTTCAGCAAGAATCCAAAAATACAGGGTGTCCAATTCGAAAAATCGAAGTTGCTGCTACTTTCTAGTAGGAGCGGCAAGGCCGGATCGTTTCAGATATTTCAGTAATGTAGATTATGTTAATTTATACATACCATCGAAATTTCAGATTAATCCGTTGCCTGGTTTGCCGAAAACGTCAAATTAACGCTCATCGTGAAAAGTCCTGTATAGTTTTGATGACGGACCTGCAAATAATTCTTCCAAATGTAATACTCACGTATACTGAATAGGAAGTGATAAAATTAATGAATTTCGTCTGATTCCAATTTTGTACCCCAAAATGAGCAAAAATAATATTTTGAGCACATAATATGAATAGTTAAAATCGTCTGTGCACGAATAAAAAGCACATCGTTGAATAGGAATTTTGATGTTCTTTCCAGATATGGCAAAAAAAATTAGAAATTCGAATGTATAGGGTGTTGTTTTCTGGCAGAAATAATTTGTCAATTTTAAGTGAAGCCGGACCTGGATTTTATCTTTTGTTGTTGCCTCAATAAATTCCACAGGGTAGATTGAGCAAGTGTACAAATTTTTAAAAATTTATACAGGTTGGTTGGAAAGTTATGAGACAATGAAGATATGGACAAAATTGATGAAACATCCTGTATCTCGGTTATAAGAAGTCGAAGACCCATTAACCATGGGTTTTTTTAAATCACCCCAGTGACCCCTATCCACAGTCGAATTATTTACCTTTCCCAATGAAACACCCTGTATAACATATATGATATATAACATATAAATATATAATTTTCAAAAATCTTCCAAAATCGCTAAACAATTTTAATAGTGGGCTATGGATTTTTCACATAAAAAAGTTCTGAAGAAATATTTCTTTTGACTTTTCCATGAAGAGGGCAAAAACAATACCGATACAAATTAACTGACAAAACACAAAAATTAGGTAGGTACCTGATAACAACAAATAAATAGTAAGAAAGAGTTCATAATGTAGAATACGCACGTGATTTAATATTCACTAAAACAATTGAATTTCGAAATTATTCAGTAACTTAAAAATTTATGAAACAAATCCCGACATTTTCCTGAGTGAAGTGGTATTTTATTTGAAGTAGGAAATCCTGAACTGAAAAATAAGATAGTCTTTTTTTCCGAATTATATGTATGGAGTATTGAAGATGTTTGTTATCACTTTGAGCTATCAAAGGATTGTTTCATTCAATGTGAAGAAATCACCACGTACATATACCTACCCACCTATTTGAAAGAAAAAAAAAACACTTTTTCGTTAATCTTTTATAAAGAAAAGTGGCTAACGAATACCTCTTTTCTGATTCCTCTTCACTGTCGCTCAACGATACCTCAACCGCATCGTAATACTTGTCCAAAATAGACATTCCCATGATAACTGAATCAAAAATAGACGTCTCCTGTTCTTCTTGAGATACTTTTCCCACCACCTGAAATGAATAGCGATAAGTTAAACAGGGTGTAACTTGAACTTTTAGGGCTGCTTATTGGAGTAGTCGTAAAATGATTCACTAATTAAGACGAAAAAAATTATATATATCATTTTTACATCACTTTTACATTAAACACCTAATTGAAATTCATGTAGGTATATAGATAAGACATTGACACTGAAAAAAATCTTCTTAATAAAAATGCATGTCTTACTAGAAACCTGTGCGAGAGATCTGAAGTAGGTATTTATAATCATCAAAATTTTGTTTCTTACCTAACTGGTTTCCAAAATGGTTACATAGTGGAATACCTTTATACTATACGAATGAGGATTTTGAACAATGGTAAGTCTTGAGAATGGTTGATATAAGTTGTTTGCTTCTCGAGTATTGTTATACAGTGTGTCCCAGATTCGCTTCTCTATTCAGGGATCTCGGCTCCTATTATACCTACAGCAGAGGTTAAATGGGGAAAGTTTCAGAGGAATCTTAGTGCATTCGATAACCGGTTTCAGATTTACGATCGGATAATTGGTTTTGAAAATATCGGCGAAAAACCGAAAATGACGGATTTCGTTTTCCGCCAGTAAATCCGAAACGGTTAATTTGACAGCTGTCAAAATGTCACATTATCTGGACACTTTTTTAAGACGAATAAGATAGCATGTATGACATGTCACGATCGTATTTTGTTATCCCGCAAGCCGCCTCAACTTTCATTTTTCTTATGGCCGCCATATTGGAATTTTCGATTTTTGGAAAGAGCGTAAAATTTCCAGTCTAGTGATTTATTTATTTATTTATTTATTTATTCATCCAAACAGGCCTACTGGCCTAATTACATGGATAACCCAATGAAATTACATACTTGATGTCACTGATTCAAAAAAAAATATCATAGTTGACCATACTAAAATTATGTCGATAAATAGGTATATATGGTTTATATGGTTTACCAGAAAAGTAGAGGATTAAATGGAAATGTTCAATATGGAATTTAAAATTTCATTTCTGAAAGCAGTTGGAGCTTTTGACCAATCTAATACATTCAGAACATTGAATTGATTGGCTAGTCGAAGCATGGCTACAAGAGGGGATTTACTTGACTGCTTAGCGGAGATATGAAACATAGGGGAGGAACGAATACGACAGAAAGGTACTCTGAATGGAATTAGCGTTAAAATTTCGGGACAATCTATCTTATTATTGATGATTTTATACAAAAACAATATACTTGTAAGGTTTCGTCTCTGATCCAGAGATATTATTTTGAAATGAGATCTGAGTTCAGTAGTTCTGACTGTCAAATAGTCAGGCCATACATGGTATTCCTTGAAATACAAGTATCTAAGTAACTTATTTTGCACCTTCTCAATTCTTTTTAATGCGTTTTGAGTTTCACTCATCCAAATTATTGAAGCAAATTCTAGTTTTGGCCTGACTAAAGTATAATATAACATTTTAATGGTATGTATATTCGTAAATCTGGAAGTCTGTCTCACAATAAATCCCAAAATACGATTCGCAGATTTAACAATATTATCCAGATGGTTAGTGAAAGAAAAAACATTATTGTAAGTTACACCAAGATCACGTGTCTCTGTCTTTCGTTCAAGAGGTTCCCCGTTCATTTCATACCTAAATACGACTGGATCCTTCAACCGAGTTATAGTCAGCACGGCACATTTATTTATGTTGAAATATAGTTTATTTTCATTACTCCATTTATGAATATTGTCCACGTCTTTTTGCAGAGCAACACAATCCCTTACAGTCTGTACCTTTTTGAACATTTTTAGGTCGTCTGCAAAAAGAAGGCAATCTGTATTTACCAGGACGGCCGGCAGGTCGTTAATAAATAGTGTAAAAAGCAACGGTCCCAGATTAGATCCCTGCGGTACTCCTGAATTGGCCCTAAACTTGCCGGACGTATTACCATTATGTTTGACGAAGAAAAATCTATTTTCTAAATAACTTTTCATTAATTCCAGAATATTCGGTGCTAGTCCGTATTTATTCAATTTACTCAACAATACATCGTGGTTCACTTGATCGAATGCCTTTCGAAAATCTGTGAAAATAGTGTCTAATTGTAATTTTCTTTCGAGGGTCTCGTATACATGATTACTATATAAGAAAAGATTTGTATTGATTGATTTGTTGGTCATAAAACCATATTGCTGTGGTACGATGTACTTTTTAACATGTTGATACAGTTTGCCATGTAAAATTTGTTCAAACACTTTTGCCGGGGAACACATAATTGAGATGGGCCTGTAGTTCTCTATGTCCATCTTGGCTTTAGATTTATGTATTGGTGTGCATATTGATGTTTTCCAAAGTGTGGGAAATTCTTTAAATTTTATAATTAGATTGAAAATGTGTAGTAGGGGAACCCTTAACCATTCGCCACATCCCTTCAGAATATATGGTGGGATACCATCTGTTCCAGTAGATTTTTTTGGTTTAAGTTTTTTTATTCCTTCATTAAAATCCGATTCACTTATTGAATCAATTATGAGAGTATCATTACACAGTGAAGCTGAATCTTCAAATTGTAAATTATATGTAGCTTGTTCTGGGCAGTAAACCGAGGAAAAATATTTAGCAAACGTTTCTGGTATTTCCTCATCATTAACCTCAATCCCTTCATAATGAAAGTTATCCAGAGAACTGTTTTTATATTTGTTTTTCACATATGTCCAGAAGCAATTTATATCACTGTTTATATTTTTCTCCAAATTATTCAAAAATTTCGATTCCTCTCTTGCTATCAATTCTTTCAATTTCTTTCTTGACTTATTATATTCATTAAGATAGTAATCCGATACCGATTTCAATTTATTATAGCGCTTTTTTTCCTGCAGTAAAGTTTTGATTTCAACAGTGAACCATACTGGATATTTTTCCTTCCTACCTTTGACCACCCTGTACTGTGGGACACACTGCGCTATCACACTATCCCATATCGAGTAAAACTTTTCTAAAGCCTCGTTCACGTTTTGCTCAAGAATCACTGCTGTCCAGTCAGCGTCGCGAATATGAGTACTCAAACCCAAGAAATCGGCTTTTTTGTAATTGTATCTCATTTCTACGGTTTCATTACTAATTTTATCATTTACTTTTGAAATTTCGATGGTTATATTGAGAGTAGGATGGTAAGTGTCCTCCTTCACAAATGGCAACATATCCCGTTTTACCTTACAATACTTCTCATTTTGTTCTGAGCTCAAAACTAAATCTAGGATTCTTCCTTGTAGATTTGTTATTTCATTATTATATATGCTAAAATCATTAAATTCCAGGAAGTCATTTAATACATTTGTAATGCCCCCAACTTTCTTCGTTAGTTGGCCTACTACAGGGGGTCGTTACAAAGTAATTTTTCCTTGATCAATGGGTTCGTTGATTATTGAGGCAGGAGGCAGACTGAGAGTGTAGACAATAAGACAACATATAGATAGTTACTGAGACATATATTCGGCAGAATGGTCAGGCAGAGGTTACAGGCAACAAAATCAAAGTTTGCTTACATTTTAGATTGCACATTATTACACTGTTCACTTGTTTTTCAATTGGCGAGAGATTCACTTCACTTTTACGTCTTTGTCACCAAAGTTGCAGTTTACAATAAATCTACCTGAGTGGTCACTTACACAGGTATTATTAACGAAGTTCACTGGTACTGTTCGAACGTAGCATGTTCGATAGACAGATACAAAGTCGGCTGGATACGGTTTGTATTGAGTCACGTTTAAGACTGAAGTTGAAGTCGAATTTTCCTGCTTTTATACTGAATTTTGGCAATAAATTTCAAGAGAATCAATTAAATATGAGATAAGTTTCATGTTGTGTTTATATTGAGCAAGATTTCTAGTGAATTTTTGAGCAATAAATTACGGATATTAGGATTAATATGCGAAACTAAAAAGATTTTGCTGTAGTTCTGAATTGTTATGATGATAAATAATTTTAAGCTATAACTCATACTTTTAATGTGAACAAAACTGTCATTTACTATAGTTTTCCATTAACCCTTTTTCAAGTAATAATTCAATGTGGTTTATGATTCTCATTAATTTTTCTCGGCTTTAATTTGCACAAGTGAGATGATTTCGATGTAACTCTCCAATGTTATGATAATAATTCACTTCAGGAATATTAACAAAATTGACAATTACATGCTCTTTCCTTTACGTATTTGGGCTGAATAATAATTTATTGATCTTTCAAGCCAATCAGATTAAAGTCACTCCCTCTTTACTGAACTTATAAATTCTCTGCAAATTCTCTTCAACGTCATTTTTGTCTCTCAATTCGGTCCTGTGATATCAACCTGCTTCGTTCTCAAGTGACCAGTGAATTCGTTTTACAAAGGTAACGTACCTACTTATTCTATACATTTGTTTATGCTAATGATGCTGCACTCAATTCAAAATAAACATTCGTCCGTTCACGTAATAATATTGCCTAGTAGACGCATGATAAAAGTTATTTTTATTTAAGACAATTATTGTTCACTGTACTTAGTTCAAAAGAATTCAGAAATTTACATAATTTTGTCTAAGATATACCCGTTCATTACATTCCATCCACCCCTCGTAGACGAAATTGTATATCCAAATATATCAATTTCGGTTCTAGATAATAATCTCTTTCAAGCGGCATTATTACGTGAACATAACTTATCAACCATAAATTATTAAGCATCTCTTGAGAGTTCTCGAATGTGTTTACATGATGGTGTTTGACCCAAATAGTGAGGATTATATTGTATAAACAACGATATAGCCAAATGATGATTTTTTTTTTTTTATAGGTAACTACCTGCAGACTCCTACAAAATATATGCATTACACTATAGAATGGAATAATATATATATATATAGATTTTTTTTTATATAAACGAAGTTCATTGTTTCAAAATTGATTCAGTTTCACTTTCCATTCAGCAGTTTAATTGCTTACTCAATGAACAATGCTCTGTAAATCATCAT